TCTGCAGTCCGAAAATGCTGACATTGCAGTAGGTCTATTCCTAAAACTGTTGCCGTCAAGCGAGAATGCCCTTTACCAGGCCAACAAGCTGGATAGTGAATGTATTATAATCTCTGTTGTGGGATTACGATAAAATTAACAGACCATACTTAGTTCTGCCTTATGTTATATTTTTACTTTTTGGGTTTCCATACAAAATTAAAAATATTTAAACTCGGTTTACTGCGAAGAAAGCCTTGAGAGGGGCACAAACTTCATGACCACATCACTACAGGATTCAAGCAATACGTAACTTTAAGATTCCTATAAACAATGTTTCGCTTATGTCAGCTAAAATTAAACTATTGCAGATCTGGAACGCTGGTAGAATATTATGTCAATGCGATATGTTAACAAGCGGAGAGGAAGCCATTTAGACTCATTTGTGACAGTACGCCGACAAGACGTCTTTCAGTTTTGAACAGAGACAGGACAAAGTTGTCTTGATGACCAAACCTCTACAGGTGAGTGGTAGTCAATTTTACAACCCGAGTTATTTTAAGTTCTATGTATTCTTTGTGCAAAATGAACGAAAATGGAGAAGTCCTGTCTTTTCGTTTTTACGCGTTTTGTCTCCGAAACTATTCGACAGTTTTAAATGAAATTTTGCAGTGGAAGTACATTAATTGTTATAGGCCAACTTTATTTCAGATCACATTAATCCAATGCAACCTGGACGGGTTTTATCGATAAAATAATAAATTGTACACTTTGATGTCTGTATATGGTAAACTGTATAAATGTTTAATGACGTGTAAAACATTTCCATTCAGTAAGCCTTTGTAAGAAATTAAGTTCCAGGAGCCAATAGACAGAACTGAGGGTTTCCCTTAACTATCTAAAGCCGAATCTGGGGGGGAGAAAGAGCATCTTATAGCTAGAAGGTCCCCAGGCAATGCCCGCTCGTCCTTCTGTTAAGGATAAAGTAAGAGTGAAGGCGTTAGTGTGATGATTGGCATAAAAGACGGAATTTTGAAATTTTGTATTAGCGAAAGCTGAGGCTATTAATTTGGAAGTTTAATACATAATTTAGAAGTTCCTACTGAGGGGAGGGGGGGTAAATTTTGACGGCGTTAAGGGGTGGTAAATTTTGATTAATTTAAATCGGGAGGGCTGCATGAGAAGCTTGCAGTGGCAACTTGGAACTTGGGAACCATCTCAGCATTTGCTTGAAGACAGAGGAAAACCAAGGAAAACCTGTGTCGAGATGGCCTCTAAAGCCGAAGCTATTCTAAGGAATATGTAACGATCCAGTCCGTACCACAAAGAAAACACACTTCACCATTACAAGGATAAATGTGTTAACGTTGTCTAACGAAATAATTTCTGTTTACTTTGAGAATCGTATGAACCCCATAAATACAAACTGTTAAAGCAGGTGGGGCATACAGTTACCACTAGGCTTTAAAAGGTTACACAGCAGCATCATTACTGTGCACTCTTTGTATAAAATGAGAGTATGATGGCGAGGGTGTGGCTGTCCATCCATGTCTGCCCATGTTTTATTTCGATACTACTAAAGGGATTTCCGTTACATTTATTATTAAGAACTTACGTGAAAAGCTACTTTAAATATTTAATTTTGGTTGGTAATGGTCAAATATAATTCTTATTTTACAAGTATTTCATATAGAACTACGCCAGTTTATTTAAACGTGGCCCACTGTAATAAATATTGAGACATAAAATAAAAAACTGCCAGTGGAACCACGGTTTTTAAGATCTCTACATTTTACATTAACGTTTTCTGATGTACTGAAAAAAAGTATTATTATTACTTACAACTAATTTCAGTAGGCTTATACCCACGAAATTAAAAGTGAAAATTATAATTATTAATTATAAATATTTATTCAGTAAAATATATGTTTTATTGTTATTATTTACTTCATGACTTGGACTAGTTTCTAAATTTTTTAAATTTATTTTCATATAATGAAGATTTCTCACCACTGGTTGACCACATAGCAAAATAAAACCTAAATATTTTAATATGCTTAATAAATTTAAGTTTGTCCTTTAACACACTGTTAATTTCTATCTCTCTTTAAACATAATTTCAATTAGGTTAGCATCACCATCTTGTAGGTATCTCACAGTGCACTGGAATCTGCCTACAAGTATGTACATATAGCATTACAATCCAGAAGACAGACATCTTCTGACTCACCACTGTGAAAACCTCAAATCCTACCAAGCTTGTTTAAACTGAAGTGAGAACTGTAAAGAAAGCCCTACCCATGGTGTGAATGTGATAGTTTTGTTATGTGTCTCTCAACTGTAGGGTCACATCATAGGACAAATGCAACTATGGTGGTCTGCTATGGTGGTGGCCAGTGTCGTTGTGGCCGCACCCGAGCCAGTGTATGAAGCAGTTGTGACAATCAACACTACTAAAATGGTTCAAGTTGTGAGTGAACGATTCTTGAGCCTGACTATTGATCCAGCCATGTTGCTGTACGGAAAGGAATTTGGGTGAGCTTTTCTAACACGCTGACTGATGGTTCAAACATAGTTTCCACTAAATGAAGTGATGTGCAAAGAGGGATTTCATAATTTCTATTATAAACATAATGTTTTTTGCTATAATTAAATAGGGGATGAAGGGCACATCCCCTCCCCAAAGCATACTTCCCTGGACTATGTTTAACTTTCTGTATATAGTGTATTGACTCAAGCATTTAATTTTTAGTTCTGGAACCACGAGAATCCTACACATGGCAAAAGGTCTTGCTCCAGCGTACCTGAGACTCGGAGGACCAGACATTAACCACTACCATTTCCAGAGGTCTCCCGTGCATGACACTCAGCATAACAACTACACTTTTACAGGTCAAAAATCCATACTGGAATGATTTAATTTTATGCAATGTTTGCATTAAGTTCAAGAAATTAAAGTATACGGGGGAAGTAACATTTATCTGTTATATGCACAGTTCAACTTCAAAACTAATTAAGAGAGTGTGATGATATTTTAATGTCTGAAGGCTACATTAGAAGTTTCAATGTGAATTTATCTGTAGTCAAGATGGTCCAATACAACTCATGTCAGATAAATTAATATAAATGCCATTTACACAAATAATTTTCTTTGTATTCCAGAGGCACATTGGGTTGAACTAAACCACTTTACTCATGAAGCTGACCTGAAACTTGTTGCCTGTCTGAACATCCTACAAAGAGTCGATGGTGTATGGGACTCAAGAAACAGCCTGGATCTTATCACTTTCTCAGATGAAATGGGTTACAATGTTGCATGGGAACTTGGTTATGGTATGGAACACTGCACAGTACAATGTACGCTAGATTATTGGCTTTTCCATGAGCTGGGGTAGCTCAGTCATTATAGTGTTTCACTTTGGATTAGATGACTGGCTTTAGGGCCCACTCAGTCCCCTATCCAATGGGTACCAGGGTTCCCTTCCCTATGGGTAAAGTGTGGCCAAGAGCTATTCCTCCCCTTCCTACAAGTGGCACCACAGCATATGGTGGGGCAATTTTACTTTTTACTGGATTTACCCACTAATCGTAATTCCACTGATGTTACTTATTCATCTATCACTACCCGTTAAGGTGTGCAACAGCCCTCAGTCCTAGTTAGATGTTTACCTAACACTTGGCTGGTTTTAGAACAAACATAGTTTCAGTTTACTTAAATAAGTATCACAGAGGGGATTCTGTAACTGGAAGTAATGGATAAATATGACTTTTACCCTGTCAATCTGTTATTTTAACTAAAACTAACCTATCAATTTTATGAAAAGACTTGGTATCATGGTAGTCTAAACATGACTAAACATGACTATGGCTATGAAATATTCATTAGAAGCATTTGACAGGTGTAATGAGACAGTAAGCATATTAATAAATAAACAAAATCCACAGTGCAGACACATCTTTAATATATACTTCCTATTTATGCAGAGCTTCAAGAGCTAGGAGTTGACATACCAGCATCCCAATTTGGACAAGATGTGGCTAGACTAAGGCACATCTTAAATGACTTCCCTCGGTATCAGCATTCCCTCATCCTAGGACCTGATATTACACAACTAAATAGACAACAGGATGTAGATTTTCTACAGAATTACTTCCGTGAGGGAGGTTCGGCCCTGGATGGCATCACTTGGCACCCGTAAGTGTTTCATATTCCTCAGCCAAAATTTTTACTTTTGATGTTTTGTCATATCTTATAAAGAAATGTAGACTTATTTACACATACAACAAATATGAGACCAAATAAAGACAATAATTTTAGAAACAAATTAATAAGACGTTGGTCCTTTGTGCAAGGTGTCCAAGTGATTTATGTGGTATGTGTTCCAATCTACCCCCTATTTTGTCTAATTTTCCTTTGGTGAGCATGCTTCATATTTTAGCAGGTTTCTAGTCCAGAAGTGACCCTGTAAACCTGATTTCATTAATAAGTTTATGGATGGTTCTTATGCTTGGAACTGTAATTCTGAGAAATTATAGAAAGAATTGTCTCTGACACTTCCTAGTGGAACCACATTTCACATATGATTAAAAAAAACATGCTGTTCAACAATGCATTGAACCAACCAATAACCAGTACTTAACACAATGTTAGACACATTTGAATTGGTATGTAAATAATTTTAGTGGCAACTGCTGTTAGCACTTGGCAGTGTCATGCAGTTTCTTCCTGGAACTGGGAAGTGACAGTAGTGTCAGTGGACACACTGTAGTATAACACCAGGCTTGTTGAGGGAATTTTGATGAAATTTGATACACAAGGCATTTTTCACAATTTATAAACTCAATTAATTCCTGCAGTTTTGAATGTCACTTTGAATTATACCCCAGATTTGGATTTTGTAAAAAACTGTTTAGTTTACAATAATTATATGTTTCATTAACTTATTTTTATTTACAGTTTATTTAATGATGCTGTCATCATATTAGACTTTATAGGGTTGGATTATTAATGAATTGCAATAATAGGTAAGGAAACAATCATAGCCTAATTTGAGGTACTATCCTGACATTTGATTGGAAGGACTGAGGAAAAGAAAACCTCAGTCAGGACATCTAGTCTCTGGCCTAAAATTAGATCCTGTTACCTCCCGAATACAAAACAAGAGTGCCAAACACACTTTCAAGATGTTTAGTGCTTTTATTAATTGTCTAGTGATAAGGTTTCTACCTAAGTTTTTCATTACTAAGTGACAGCCAGTAATTCTCATATTATAAGCACTATTTTATAAGTGCTGGCCACAAGATCTCTTACTGCAGTAGTGCAGGATTGCTAGAGGGCTTAGACAAAGAAGGGATTGTATTCTAAACTGAAGACATTCATGCTGCTAGGGTCATTAATCATCAATCCCTCTCACAATCATTCCTACTATGCAACAGGGTTAAATAGTGCACTTTTTTTATAACTGGTATTAAACCTTTGGCTTTTATACTTTTGATGGATGATTCTGTTACTCAGTCACAAGTTGCATTACTGGGCTTCTTATTTTATACTAAGGAAAGAGTAACATAATACATTAGAATAGGAAATGATATTATGTTGATTCAACTGCACTTTTATACAATTGTTTTTGCAGAGAATTCACTTACCAGAATAATAACACAACAACTGAACCTGCCGACATGGAAGTAGCACTGAACCAGCTGATGCATGACAGGGAGATATTGACCAGGGTTCTACAGATGGCTGTAACCAAGAAACCACTGTGGATAGGTAAACAATTAACAACTGAACTTCAATGCTATGATATGAGCTTAACATATAGCCTTGCAGACCCAGAAATTTACCTCCCTATACTGGAAATCTTACAGATTACAGCCTAAAAAGGACAAAGACCTCGCAAACTGCGGGAGTTCCATGTAGCTTTCTATTCATAAAACTCCTCATAATATTATGGCTGTGTAGTGGAAGTCAGTCCTCTTGGACAATGAAGATCCTATTTATGATTTACTTTATTTGATATGTCATTGTTACCATGGGTAAATGAAGCAACCAGTTTTTCATGACCTGTACATAAGACAGACTTTCAAACAATATAACTGAAAGCTTTGTTGCTCAGGAGACAGACAAAGTGAGAGTTCACGTGGATGGTTTCTGGATGCCCTATTATGGACACAAAAGCTGGGAGTTGCTGCCTGGATGGGGATTCAGGTTATTATGAGACAGCCCAACCTCCACGCACTGCTTGAACCTACACCAGTAAGTACCATAATTCAAGTTACAGGTATCAAATGTGCAGGTTTATTCTAAGAACCTGAAAATAACAATTGTTACTGTACATGTATTAGCTATGAACAAAGACATATATTTAAAATATGTAAATAATGAATGGAGTAGTAGAACTAGCGTCATACCAGTCACCAAAATGCGAATGGGTGCTTCTGCATATCGAGGTATAGAGTTCTAGTTATAATTAACAACCTACACTAAATTGAAACAAATATATTTGTTGAGAAAGACTTAATGCAAAGCCAAATAAAGCTGAGATAACCAATGTACTTGCCTTGAGAACAAGATGCACAAGAGCAAACAACCTTAACAAATATTATTTGGTACACAGATAATTCTGTATGGAATCAGTTCTTAAATTTGTATGCATAAAGCCCAACTATCAGGAGTAAGAGTGCATAGACCTTCACATCCACGTACTATACACACCAGCATAATGTCATCCAAGGTGAAACCACAGTGCTACTTTCGCAAGAAAACCCCGAAAGAGGTCATGACGGTCAAGCTGACCATAGACGATAAAAAAAAGAAGTCATATATATGAACATGACTAAAACACAAAGTGTGTTTTATATAATCTTGTCTTTTCTCTTGAGGTTTGGCAGCATAAAATTTATTGGCAAGTATAAGAAACTTAACATCATAGTAATAAATTGGGAAGAATCCTGTATTCAATCATAGCGACTTTACAAATCTGATATGCAATGTATTTTTACTGATTTTAGTAATGACTTGAAAGAATGAGAAGACGGAAGATATTAAAATGGATCTTAGAGACATAAATTGTGAAGATGTAAAATGGACTGTGATTGTGTCCAGTGGAAAAATTTGATATCAGTGGTGCTGATTTTGATTCCATTACCAGAGAAGATGGTAGTTTGTGACAACAACACTCTTATGTTACACACTATTAGATGTATTGCCTCTTAAGTGGATAACTTAGATGAAACTTATAATTTATTTTATTTGTGTTTTTTAATTTGGCATGAGCTGGAATAGGCTTAACCTACCTGCTGTACCTCTCCCAGTTGAGTCCATACATTTTATGAAAGACAAGATATTGCTGATCATGGCTGAAGTACTGAAATAATGTAACTGTTGTCTTAATACAGGACTACTGGGTGTCGCTGCTACACAAGGCCTTAGTCGGCAGAGTTGTGTTAGATGTGGAGCAGAATCACAGTGACAATACACGTATCCACATATACTGCCACTGTACAAACCATCACGCTGCTAGTCTATTTAGACGGGTAGTCAACTACAAGCGTGGGGCCATCACCTGCTTTGGTGTCAGCCGTTCGAGCATCAAGACCAAGATCACATTGAAGCTTGGTTCTAGAGGGAAGAAGAATGATGAAGTGCATCAGTACCTGTTAACATCTGCTGAAAATGATCAGAAGTCAAGGTAATACATGGTTATACAAATACCCTGGCTAAAGAGCAAAGGGATAATGCTACATGATGTGCAGAACTGATAAGACCACTGGGAGAGTTGTGTCTGAAAAAATAGATGCTGAAACTTCTGTTATATACAGAAGCCACAACTAAAAGCAAACCAACTCCATGGAGCACAGTTCTTCTTGACTGGCTGGTCAAAACATTCTTTGAAGTTTCATTACAGACTTCACAGTTGCCTGCTGCCAGTCCTTATTCTGAGCCAGATGTATTCATCCACACCCTATTTCCATAATATCCATTTTAATATTATTTCCCTATCTATGCCTGTTTGTGAGGTTGTCTTTTCAGATTTTCAAAGTAAAATATTGTACACATTTCTTCCTGTAGGAATGTTACATGTTCTCCCAGTTGCAGAAATAATACATTTTATAATTAACAATACTTAAGTTCAAAGGTAAAGTAGCCCCTGTGCCTAAGCACCATGTCATGAAGGCATATAACACATCTGGAAGTAAAGTTTCACATATTCTAGTCCATGGCATGAGATGGATGTGAGCTGTCAGCTTCATGCTTCTCAGAAGAATAGCCTCTGGAAATTAGTGGGTAGAAGGCTGGGTCTAGATGAGACAGTCAAGAGAAAACTCCATGCTCCTGTTGGGAAATGAATCTTGGTTCTTTAGCCTGTAACCAGTGACTTTACTCACTGAGTTATCCCAGTCCTCATATGAGAATATGTAAGTGCATATATATGAGTGATTAATTAGATGGGTAAGTAAGAAAGTCTGTGGGTAGATTGTTAAGTGGCAGTATGTTTAACAAAACTCATTTAAACTCAGATTTTGAGAGATTTAGCTAGTTTATCCATTGTCACATAAATTATATACTCAGCTAAAAATAAAAGATTGTTTGCTTTCATTTCTTTCAGAGAAACTCTTCTGAATGGGCAACCCTTAAATCTTATGGCTGAAGGTACACTGCCAGTCTTATCTCCAGAAATCTACCACACAGGACACAGTTTCACTGTGACACTTCCACCAACTTCCATTGGCTTCTGGGTACTTCCAGGTCTTACGGTGAAACCGTGTCTTACACTTCCAGTTGGCAGCAGATCAGAGGCAAGTGACAAGGCCACATATCGCCAGGCCAGATCCATGAATTCCACACCATTCCCTGACTATGCTCACTCAGACCATGAGACTGATAGCCACATGAGAAGTGAATCAAAAGGGTATGAAACTGCCAATTCACTGAGGGAGTTATCAAATACAATCAAAAGGAAAATACATTCTAAAAAAAATATACTGAAGAACACGAATGATGAATTTTTGAATAAAATTATGGAAGAAACTAAACTTGTAACAGATGGTGATTTTGAAAGAGACAGTACAGAGGCAATGGAAGAGATTGGTAAGAATGTCAAGAATGAAAGCATAAGGGAGAAAACAAATGAGATAAAAAGGGGTGCCCAAGAACGGTACAGGAGATATGTGGCAGAGACTGGTACATATGTGATCCCTGGACTGGAGCCTGACTACTTTCAGCCAAACAATGGAATCAGCATAAAGAATTTATTATGGAGGAGGAACAGGGGGGACAGATTACAGAAACTTGCTAAAATATCAAAGCATGAAGGTAACATCCAAACATCAATATATGAGCCCCATCACCATGCAGATTTTGAAGATGTGAATGAAGGATTCCCAGTAATCAGTTCCTATGAACATGCAGTTCATACACTACCAAGAGGTGGAATTTACATGCGACAGGGTGGTGAATCATTTCAGGAACGTAACAAAGATTATGATTATGTAGACAAAGATGAAAATGTAAATGAAGAGGATGAAAATATCTCATCTGAACCAGAACATTTTCATGGACCAACAGAATATTTTGAAACACTTCAGACACCAAGGGTTGTTGCAGATGAAAGATTTTCTGGTTATGGTGGTGAGCTTTCTGAAGCTGAATTCATTGCACTGGCAAAACCAAGTAAACAAGAAGAGGAACAGGGCAGTAGTAATGAAAATGACGAAAAAGTAATCCAAGAACAGGGTCTGACAGATGAAGAGGATCGCAAAATAAAAGATGCCACAACCAGAATGCTAAACACATACTACGGTGAGATTTACAGACATGATACCAGTGATGAAGGGGTAGATTTTGAGCAAGAAAGTGGAGTCAAAAGAAAATATAAAACAGACATAAAGAAGAAAATAAGTAACAGGAGAAATCCAGAGAAAAGGAATGGAAAGTACAGTGACAAAATAGTATCAAAGATGGCTCACCACATAAATAACATTCCTGACTCTTATATCCTCACAGTGAAAACAGAGAAAGATGCCATCAATGAAAATGATGTACATAATGATGAATATGATGATGATACTTATGTACCAGCTGAAGAAGTAGAAATTTCAAGAAGTATCCACAAAATTAAAGAATCATTTGCAGAAAATCATGATAGAAATATTCCCAGGATTAATGAAGAATATTACCATGAAGGTTCACATAGTTCTAGAACAAGGAGGCAAGGAAGAGAAAACTCTAAGAAGATCAACCAAAGAAATGACTTGCAAGAAACAGAGGATGATGATCAAGACAGCTATCAGGCAAACCATGAGATACTTAAAAATCAAAAGATTTTCAGTGCATCACAGAGTCATTCAAGAGACTCTAAGGAGAGGGCCAGAAAAATAAGTCACAAAGTTATTTACAGTAACAGCAATGAGGAAGATAATAGTTCAGACATCATAAAGAACCATTCCAAGCAGAACAGCAAAAACAATATCACTCAAAAGTCATCTCAAAGAAGAGCCAAAGAAAGTAATGAAGATGACGAAAGTGAATCAGAATCTTTAGAACGATCTCAACAGTACAATGCAAAATCAAAGATGCATAATCAAAAAGTACATCACAAAAATAATAATTCAGGACATGATGAATATTCTCATGAACATGATTCTGCTGAAGTTGGTGAAGATGACAATAAACAGAAAATAATGAAGAGATATTCTGGGAGAAGAAAATATGTGAGAGCAGCATACCAGCAGAATATCAATAATGGTAAGAATGTTGATGAAGTTAGTGAATTAGCTGTTACAGTGAGAGGACACAACCCTATAGAAAGCATTATTCCAAGCTACAGAAAAAAGTCATCACGAAGAACACTAAACAATACACACAGAACAAACAATGAAACTGGAAAAACAGGAACACAAGGGAGTGCGTCATCTGATGAGAAATCTGGGGAGGAATTGCACATTAAACATAAGATGAAGAAGCATTCTTCAAGAACAGAAGTAACCAGTAATGAATCTGAAGAAATGCCAGAAATAAACGAATATCAGGAGAAAGCAACTGAAGAAAATATGGAAAATAAGTCAAGACAAAAGGACAAAGTCACAAACAGAATGCCCACAAGTGACAAGGAACGAAGACGTCGAGTGAGGAGAGATGTGCCATCACAATCACCAATGACTGAAACATCGGTAGAAAACAGACGGAAGTGGACCGATGCTAGAAAGGGCACTTCTCAGAAAAAATACACTGAATTAGAGTCTGATTCCATCAATGCTAAGTTAAAAGTGAAACCTCACAATATTAAAGAAAACAAGAAATTACAAACACCCTACAGACCTGTACCTACAGATAAGATTTTTAAGCCCAATGGAGGTTTAGAATCAAGTGAAGGCAATAAACAGATGAATGCAGACCACAATACAGAAAAGTATATAAGTGATGAATTTAGAAAATATAATGAGTCAACTGAAGAAATTAATACAAATTCACAACATAAAATAAGTAACACTTTACTGGATGAATATGATGACAAACAACATGAAGAAGAGGGCACAAGCCAAAACTACTGGAAGTTTCATAGTGATAGATCACTGGAATACTTTATGGATCCAGAAAAACTGCAGAATGTAGGACATACCAAACGAGAAATTGGTAACAGTTTCATGTTTGAACCATCCAATGACATCACAATCAATGGTAATATGGAGGAAGAAGCTGTAAATACTGAGAGAGGTCTGAGAAAATATTCCAAAATGGCTAAGTCAGTAAAGAACAGAGAAAGGGGAGAATCTCCTATTGATGTATTATTTGGTGAAACAGTGCTACCAGCCACAAGTGTGGCAGTTTTAACTGACAAACACACACAACAAACTGGGATGGTGAATCATGAAGAAGGGTTAACAAATGTGGATGAAGCTGAAAATATTTACAAGAATCAAAATGATGCATTAAACATGAAACTGTATCAGGAGGAGTTAGAAGAACCAAAAACTGGTGCTATAAGATTACCTAAGGCTATTGCAACCCACATACATCTGCAACACAATCAAGGAAAAGTGACCACTGGAGGAAATGAGTACAAAGAAGATCTACTATCAAATGAAGAAAAGCACAACAAAAGCACAATTATGACTGAGGAGGAAACAGGAAAGACTGTACTTTGGAACACAAATTTACCAATGAAAATGGAACAAGAAGTGCATGCAGACAAAAATGACCAATTACCTTTTGGGGCTACACAGCACAGGCCTAAAAAAAGTAGCACATTCTTGGAACAAGATAAAGAAGTTTCACACGTGGCTGAACAAATCACCAAAGACACTGAAGAAATTCTGCCATCTGGAGATAATATGGCTTTGAAACAAAATCTCTCTCCAGAGAGTAGTGTTAAACTTCACAAGTCCAATAGTGAGAGCAATGTTGCCACAAGTACAGAATCATCTGAATCACAAGTACAAAGCCTTGAAAAGAAAGACCCAGTTATTGATGATATCAGAAACAATATTCATTCAATTATTGACAAACTTGGTGTAACAGTAATGAAGGCTAGTAATGATATTAAAGAGAATAAAAATAATGACAAAACTTTTGGAAATTTAAAAAATGTTCATTATAAAGTGATGGAAGCAGAAGATAAAATATTTAAAACAGCACATGACATTATGAAGTCAAGAAGTCCAGTGGATGGTGATCCTGCCAATGAAGATTTAGCAGAATTAAAAACAAAGAATGGACCAGAACAGGAACACTCTGTGAATGGTGCTGATAGAGCTTTGGAAAATATACCACATTTTATGGATGAAAACTCAACAATCTCATCTCATGAAAATGGAACTGATGGTACTTATGACAGATTAGAAGATTTTGTGACAAGCAACATAGCTGATGATGAACATACTGCTGATCCACTTATACGAAATGCGAAGGATATTGAACATTTAAAACATATTGCAGCTACAAGAGGAATCTTAAATCATAATGCAAGGAGTAATGAAAATGAACACATAAAATTACAGCTATCTACATTAGCCAAAAATGATCATATCAGAGCAGAGTTGGAAAAGAAACGCCTGGAAAGACTTCTTGCTTTGTCAGCACAACGTGCCAAACTGAAGGAAGACCTCTTAAAAATTAGGGCTAAGGCTACAGAAGGAAAGTTGAAACTGGCACACCATATAAACCGTCGCGATACAACACATGATGAACACGTACAGTCACTCATGACTAATAGTGAGACCAATGTTTCTCATGCACCAGCTTCCATCCAAAATGAAGACAGACAGAATTATGCTAAAAAAGTTAATCCTTCAATTCAATCAAAACATTTTAGAGAAACAAATTGTGAGTCAAGCTCACATACAGGACAAAACAACAGAAGAAACTTCTCTCAAGACAGACACAGACAGCCGCAATTAACATCCTTACCAGTATCCATAATGACTAATACAAAGGACATTCAGATACCAGCATTACATGGTCAGCAAATACATAAAATTCCACATTATTCAGAATCCAAGATTTTACCAAGAAACTGCATTTCTGACAGTAAATCTGAGGGCATCCCATTTATCACTTTATATTGCAAAGGCCCTGCAAAAATTTTGTTCCAGACAGGCCACACTAAAGAGATAGACCCTGATAAAGAAAATATCTCTCAAAAATATAATTTAAATTCCAGTCCTGATCAAAGTGTTACTGAAGATGCATCTGTGGAAGATCAAAATGTAGAAATCAAACAGATGCCATTACCACAGTTCATTCCGAGACTTGTTCCCAATAATGATCCAGCAGTGGTGCAGTTCCAAAATATTCCAATCAGTGAAAATGATATTAGATTCTATTTTGATTCAGAAAAAGATAAAGTTGATGATGGCAGAGATTTGACTAGGAAACAGAGATACACTTCATCTATATTGAAAGTTTCAGGAAGTGATTCTCCATATCATTTTATAAATATAGGAGTGACAGATGATGATTCTCTAAATGAAAACTGGAAACAACTCAACATTGGAGAAACACAAATATCATTAATACCAGTCACTGAAGAAAATGATCCAAATCAACAAGCACCACTTCCAAAAGAAGTAAATAAAGGTGATGCTGGTGGGAACAGAAGGATAGGAAAGAGTAGTAAGATGTATAATTATAAGAAAGGAGCTGAAAAATACAGAAATAAGCACTTAAACACATCAAGTTCAGTAACTGAAAGTGATCATCCATCTTTACATGATAAAGAACTTGATGAAGTTGAACCATCAACATTAAGAATGTCAGATACTACAAAAAGCATCAATAAACATAGTGCTGATTCTGAAAACAATATACTAGATGTGAAAAACAAACAGAATTTTATACTTCAACCATTGACACATGATTTGGGCATCTACTCTGAACTGATACCAGGATCAAGCAACTTGCATTCTGTTTCCATGCGGTCAAAACGTGCATTACCTCATCCATTCAATAACAAATTCAATGATGATATACTTAAACCACTGACAATGACAAGTAAAGATAATCCCAGGACTGAGGATAATATGAATGGCAAATACTGGCTACAAAGCTTCCTTAAGAATTCTTCTACTACTTCAGGAAACAAAGGAAAGAACCAAGAATTAAACAGCAGTATATATGACTACATGGTAATGCCAGTTAGTAACAAATTAATTACTTCAAGTCTGGCATCAGAAAGTAACATGTTATCTGACACGGAAGAATTTCAACTTAATCCAGAGAGTATACCTACCAACAGTTTCTCTATAACAAATATTAAACTGATCACAAATGATAAATCTAAAGACATGAAAAATATTTCAGATAAAAGCAGTGAGACAAATCAAACATATCTTGAAAATTTAGGCAATAATATAAATGATATTATTAATGTAGAAGCAGGTGATGACACTGAAAATGAGAACAAGATAAAAGATGACCTGAATAAAACATCAAATGAAGTCAATCTCCAGACAAACGAAATTAAAAGGCACTTTAGAACCAGTAACAGATTTGTGATGTCTAAGCATTACAATAGCATAAACAAAGCTGAAAATGAAGAAAAATTTTCTGAAATGAAAGGAATTCCTTATAAGTTACACAAACATGTTTTGAATAGCAATTATAAACCAATATACAGCAAAATGAGGAAATATTTATATCCTCATGAGTATAAACTTTTAGAAGCAAGCAGTGAAGAGCTTCCTAGCACTGAATATTCAATCACTGTAAACAAATTAGGCAACAGATCCAGTCCCGATAAAACAAATGATATCAGCAAGATTTTCAACATAACACTTGAAGAGTTTCCAAATATTAATACCAAATCTGTAAAAATTTTAGCAACAACATCACGTCATAATATTACCAACACTGCTGAAGAAATACCTAAAATTGCAACAGAATATAAAGATATTTCAGATGTTCCAGTTTCTAGCACCATTATGGCCAATACAGACACTGATTACTTCACTGGGCCAGCTATCAAAAAACAGGGCAAGGAAAGTTTATTAATTTCACAGACCTATCCACAAGACAACCTTAATTATTTCTTCAGAAGTATGAAAAATGTTGCTGCTTTGGAACAAAAGGCTGTAGACACAGAAACAACTCCAAATTCTGAGAAAGACACAAAGAATTTGGATGCTGTTAACAGGAACACTGAGGATGTAGAAGTACCTGGTGGACAAGAAGTCACTGACAATAATGAAGAAAATAAACCAACTTCAACAACAGGATATATTCATAAACTTTTTAAAAATATATCTAATCATGTAGTTAAGTTCTTTCATAGTATTTCACCATGGAATTATTTCAATCACTGATTACAAAATAAGACAAATGTCACATGTACATATGTACCATATTTAATCTTTATTGTCCTTGCATCGCATCTTATGTGCATTGCGCTATAACACTACTCAAGTGTTAACTAAAGAGTTAAAGTCTGGCTCACAGTCCCATAGTTCAGGGTTTAAATCATCTTTTCCTGTATGATAATATTAATGTTAACAGTTATTTGGGAAACATAATGTTCTCAGAAATAATTCAACTGACCAGTATGGTGGTTAATTACAGTTACTTTGACAGGCAATAAACCAGAATTCTCACTATTCTGTAGTTTATATTATGTTTTACTGGCTTCTTCAAATTTAAATAAGTTCACAAATATGTTCTTTCTATTTTTATGTTTAGGGAATAGTTTTAATTTGTTGCATTTATAGAAGAAATAAGAAACACTTTACCTGTGTATAAGTTATTTCAGTACAATGTGTTAATAAATATAAATGTTTATTTGTTCCTAAGCCTGTTATTTTAGCTAAACCCTTCTTCCTTCATCACATCCAGTTATTTGTATGTACTTTTTGTAGTGATAAAATATTCATCTTATGCTGAGAGTACAAATGTATGCAGCTTTGCTTCAGACTCCTGTCTATCTTTAAGATGACGATGCTTGTATTTAATTAGGTTTGCCAACAACAGATTTCTATATGTAAAAAAATCTGCATAAATGACATGTACACAAATACCATAACAATGCATGGAATGTGATCAAAAACTCTTGTACCTCAAATTCAGTACATGTTCTCATTGTCTTTCATACTGCTGAAAGAAACTAAAATAGTGACATCACAAACCTTTGAGTTATGTTTACAAAGGAAGCAACCACCTTTACCATCCAGCTAGTCATCGTTTCATCTCCATGATGGCTTCCTAAATAATCACTTAAGAAGAGAAATCCATAACAAAACTCTATAAGCATTCTTTACTTCTCCATATGAAATACTAAGGAAATTAAAAGTAATTTTAATTTCATATAATACTGCAGTAGTTTTCCAAGGGACAAAACATATAAACAAAAACAGTGAATCAAATATCAGAACAAATGACAAAATATCATAGTACCAAAATTGTACTTCAAAATAAATGTAAGTACATCAATAAAAGCCAGAGACTAAATGTGACAATGAAAAGACCTTTAAAATATAACTCTTAAGGAGAATAACAATGAATTTGCATAAGACAATGGCATCACCTGTGCTCGCATATGAATCAGAAGTATAGACAATAACAGAAAGTATGAGAAGAAAGACTGAAACTGACAGAATGTGTTTTCTGAGATCAGTAGTGAGGATACACTCAAAGACAAAAACAGAAATAAAGATATCAAAAATAAATTACAGTTTAATAATATTTCAGACTACAAAATAAATGGTAGGGATATATTTAAAGGAAGGGAAAAAATAAAACCATATTGAAATATGGTCCACTAGGAAAAAGAAGTTAGAATACCAGGCCTTTCAGTCCCCATAGTTGGAAAGGAGGGGATGATTAGACAAGCAAAAGTGTTTTGATGTTAATACAAGAGTGTAATTGTAGGCATCTTTCTATGAAAATTATGTAATCCTGTATTGAATGTACTTGCCACATGAGTTTACCCAAAAGGGCAAACTACTTGGGAGATACTATGAGGTTTCCTGCATGAAGTTAAAGTTCTTGGGAATATTATACAAGTAACCACTCTTAGATGAATACCCCAATTCACAACCTCATAACTTTCATTCTCTGAGTTCTTTTTAATATTACCTTTCTGTACACACACACACGTGGGACTCACTAGTCAAAATTTCCTTTAGGTTTTTGATAAACATTGTGTAAGTTTTCTTATATCCCTCATGCATACTCTTTCTTGCCTGCCTCACCATTAAATCTTTTATCACCATGACACTATTACTGAGAAACCTGTATGAAGAGTGCAAATTATAAAGATTCCCATTATGCAATATTGTCCATAAAATATTTCCAAATAAACATTTTAACCTATTGCAGTAAAACATTGAATTTTTCTTGCAAGCAGCTGCAATGTCTGTACAGCAACATCATGGTCAGGTGTCTCATTCCCATTAACACTTTACCTGTGCTACCTGCCATTTAAGGAGTATACTTAAACATAATGACATCATGACTTGCTTTTAAAGGAAAACACATAAACAATTAAAGTTAGTAGCAAAAGAGCATGCACTTTAATTGATTATGTACACAATCAATAATTCATATATGACAATATCATTTTTGAAAGTACTGCTGCTCTAACATGTAAGATAGTTTGCTCTCATTTGTATGTGTTTATAGTGTGTCAACACAGTGTAGAAAGGGGGCCACAAGTAAATTCAATAAGCTATGAATATTGCTGGTACTTCAGTGAGCCCCTTCATAGCAATTCAGGGCTACAGACAGTTGTACAAGAATTTCCTTTACTGTTCATGATAGCAAATAACAAAAGGCATACATACATCATACATCTTTATTACATTCCATGGATCCATAAGTTAGTCAGATGAAAATATAATGTAGAATAAGTCATAATAATACAATACATGTTATACAAATACAAGTCATACTATTATATAAATATCACAAAAATACAAACAAAGGGTTCACATGAAGTAGAGATAAGTTACAAATAAATCCACCCATTATATACAATAGATAAATTACGACTTACTTGTAAACATTAGAAATTCATCGACAGAGTAAAAGGAGTGTGTAATTAAGTATCTTTTCAATGCTGGTTTAAATTGTGCCTTTTTATTTACAAGACTTGTGAGATTTGATGGTAGACTGTTGAAAATTTTGATCCCTGCATAATATGCACTCTTCTGAAAACATGAGAAGTTGGCAATTGGTCTATGAAGTTGATTTTTATTCCTTGTGTTGACACGAAATAAATAAGAAATAAATAGAAGGTATTATGCTTCAAGCAATATAGAGATATCACAACAGGTGTTGGAAATTAATGCTTAATTATAGGATAAAAATGGATAAAAGGTATCTAAGTTCTTAATAAAATACTCATACAATAGTTTTCTTAAATGTGTTTGAAGAAAAATTATGCTTTTAATTTCTTTTTTTAATTAAATGTTATAAGAAAGGAATCAGAACTTACATACTACAGCAAAAACCCAAGAGTAATTGAATGTTGAGCAAGTCCAAATGATGGGTTTTTGTGTTTCTTGATCATCACCAGAAAAAAGGATGGATGATGGTTATACAAATGAACAACAGTGAATTCTGTGAAAGACAAATGAATATGCAAGGCTAGTAATGTGCACAACATATCATATTTATTTACATTTGTATTTGTGGTTTAACAATGTTGCCAGTAACTCAGATTATATAATATTAAATGATAGGTTTATTAATGATATTGAATTGAAAGGAATCTGAGAGGAAAGGTAGCATTAAAATTAATCTTAAAGAAATGGGGCATGGTGGTTTGAAATGAATTAAACTGGCTCAGGTTAGGGTCTAGTACAGGACCTCTGTAAATCAATCTTAGGGAACCATAATAGTCTGGAAATTCCTTGACCAGCTGAATGACCATCAATTTCTGAGGAAGCACTATTGTCAATAAATGTTAATAAAAATCAGCCAAATGGTTAAAAAAACTATTAATGTGGGACAGCCAAATGAACATAAACTCTTTCTTGCCGACACTACAGCTTATGCACACAGAATTTTTTTATTTAACAACAATTTTTCAAACTGTATAGTTTATGTAGCACTGAATTATATGATTATTGATTATAATGAATTTGGAAAAATGTGAAAGCATTCATGGTCTGTATGAAGGTGCTATTCTATCACTTGTCTGTAGGACTGAGGAAAACCACATATAACCAGTCTCCAAGCAGATGTAAACAGTGTGGACAAAATAGGCTGGGTTCAAACACAGTTAAGGCAAGAAGTGCAAATTCTGTATCACACACAGAAAGAACATTCATTTCAGTGACGAATTAATAGCGAAATAACTGAAAATGGGAAGCACGCTGGTCAAATAAGTCTGGTATTTCAGATTTATTTGCTAACAATGTTTTATGAATTAAACTCTTTTATATGTATGTGTGTGTGTGTGTGTGTGTATGTGGTTTACCTTAAACAGATAACTGGAAATGGCAATTTTAAAATAAGTTATGTAATTAAAGCACCAACTTACCCATGTCTACAAATGGAAGTGGTTTCAGAATAATAAGGCCTTATAAGAAAAAGAAGCAGAAATGTAGGACTAAATTAAAGGCTGATACACAATTCTATTGGTACCATTTAGTGTGATGTGATGCAACATAACTACCAATCACACATAATTGAAATACTACACATGTAGTGAAATCTGTACAGGTAGTTGCTGAATTGGCAGACAGGTGGACAAAAGTGGGAAGGGAATTTTGCTGGTGGGTGTAGCAGTGTTATACTACTGCAATGAGCAGATCTTAGCACTCTTACAGTGCACATGAATACTAGCTAGTTTAACTGAATACATAAAAAATAAGCAGTAACACAAGTGACTGTGGAACAAATTTCTTTATAGAACTTTCAATTTATCAAATATAACATTAACAACAAAGCAGGAAAATTTTACAGGATTATTATTGTTATTATTATCATTCACCTTTAATCTTATTCTTGTGCTTTTGTGCTTGCTTACTTTCATGTGTCTGAATAAAACAACAGTGTCTTTGTTTAAGATGAATGCAATGAAAATGTAAAGGAATTTCTAGATACCATTCAGTTCTTTATTAATAGTGAACATCAATATTTGCAGAAGGTGAAAACATAGTTTGTACGATCATACTTTACTTGAGGTAAGAAAATGTTTATTATTTATGTGCATGCAATCAAAAATCTATCAAAAGTAGTTCAATGGCCTATAAGTAATAAATTTATGGATAAGAAAAGTATCTGTATCATTTTATGCATGCTACATGTCCTATCTCACTATTCTTTATTTAATTTAGATAAATATCCTTGGTACTTATTTTTTCCCCACAATATAATCATTTCAGCATAACTTCTGTCATTAATATTATGTTAATATTTTCTGTAAAATTAAACTTTTATTTTATAAAAAAACCTATGAGAAACTCCACAGTGGCTCTGTTAAGTTGGTTTAAAAATCAAACATATACAACTAATATGCAAAGAAATACCTGTATTTCAGAAATGAGCACATTTTTAAAACAATATTTAAATTGTGTTAGACTGAAACCACGAGGTAAAATATATGTCTGATATCAGATGTACTGTTTGTTTCACACAATGGCTTAAGTAATTTAATGTCAAAGAGAGGTTTCTAAATCCTTCTTTCTCCTTTTTAAGCACATTAACAAGCTGCAAAAATGTGCCTATTAGCTATGCTATGTTTATTTGTCCATCTGTCACACTTATCAACATGAGAACTGTTAAACAGATTTTTCATTAAATTTTATACTGGATAGCTTTATTCAAATTTATCAATTGTTTTGATTTCGGATACAACTGAATGAAAATAACAAGCACTTTACATAATACACTTACATTTCTGCATGTGAATATAACCTTGTTTTATTTAACTTTTTGTTCCTTCATGATGCCTTCAATAAGGAGGATGCAAAGACATGCTCTAATCTAAAGCATAAACAATTTTCAAATATATTTATTTGTTGTTGATGTTGGTCTTCTAGATTGTAATTCTACATGGACTTGTAGGTAGATAATAAAATCTTGGTATCTACATACAAGTCCACATGATGTTAAAACCCAGAAGACCATCACTGAAATCTTCAATGCAGTAAGAACCTCACATCTCATACTTCTTTCTTATTTTGCACACCTCATTGGTTTTACTGTTTATTGAAATACAAATCCACTGTTGCAAAGCCAATCATACTAATTATAATATACTGTATACAGTCGTAATATATTTTTGTTGTTATCTGTAATGAAAAATATTTTTATGAAAGTTCAGATCTTAAAGAGATCCATGATTTGTGGTGTACAAACATTTTGGAAGAAACTGATGTTTGATTCAAACTTGTAAAGTAGAAATTATATTGGACCAATACAGGCCAAAATTACATTCACCTAACAACATTCAGTTTAGTCCCACAACAATAACTCTAATCAAAATCAGTTTAGTTTCAAAGATTAATTAACTGGATAGAGGAATATTATTACTTATAAAATCTGATCATGTGCCCATCAATAACCTCAAATAATAAGACTCAGATTCCATAGAGTCAACTATTTCTTCACAATCCCAATAGATCTTCTGGTGAAAGTTAACATAATAAAGGCCATAGAATAAGATTTACTTACTTGCAGGAAGCAGTAACATGTCAATTCAATCAACAGTTTAAGAAATTAAATATCTGTTCCAATCACTGATTACCACACAGTCACAACTGACACTAAATACAAGGATGGAAGCAACTGTCTGCTGTAATCAGGAAATTCCCTCTTCTGAAAACAGTTTACCTTGTTCAAGTCACTTTACTGAAGCATTCCTAGCCAGCACAATGTGCCCATTCAGTATTTCCACTTCATTTCAATATTCTCTGCCCAAAGATGTCATGCAGACCTATAATAACCAACTTAATTCCATATTTAATACTTTGGATTACTGAATTCTGTTGGAAAGACTGATCATAGCTGCTGTTATGTTTTTTTGGGTGGCCAACATGTATTACCGTTTATAATGAAAATTACCCTTGATATGCCATCATACATAACCTTAGATATGCTGGAAATAGGATTTAGAAAATAAAGCAGAGTCAAGGAAACTGCTAGTGGCAAGATCCTAAGCGCAATCTTTACTGTTTCACAATGTCTGAGGAGGGACATGCATGCAGTACAACATGATTTTATTCTTCTGTCAAGGAAAGATGGCAAAGATTGTGTTTACAACTTTCCTATTAACTTCTTAAAAGTTGTCAAAAAAACAAAACAGAAACACTGTATATTTCTATCACAGCATATTTCTTTGTAATCATCAAAATATCTTTCTCTATTCTTTAATAATAAAATGCAGAGACAGAAATTTAGAAATAAATCCACACATACAATGACCTCCATTCTGAATGAAGTAGAACAATGATGTAACATAATACCAGTTAGAGTATGTGCTGAGTTATCATTCATCTCATCAGCTAATTCCTGGGATACTAGCAATTGTACTAACATTTACTGTACCTTCCAACACTTTGTGAACAGCTGAAAACATCAGCATCTCAAATCCTTAATTCCTCGTGTTCTATTAGTGAAACACAAAATACTATATAAAAGATGACAATTCTGATATGCTGGTTTTCCAAATGTGAGGTGGAAAGAAGACAGTACGTGGTCCTTAATACTTGAACAGTGACAAGTTTTTGAATATTGTGTAATGTTCACTGTGGCAATAACTTAGGAAAATGGTTGATAATAACATAGCAACTACACAAAATATTTTATCTTGGTGAAAATAACTGAAGCACTGTTAAGGTGACATGATAAATTTGTATGGTAACCTGTTATAAACTTAACTACACATTTTGTATTAATAGTGTTTTGTCCCTTGGTTTGATAATAGATTAAATGAATTTCATCTATTCTTGTATATCCATAAGTGTCCTTTATAATGTCATCTTTGCAGTTCAAATCATATAACTTTTCTTTTATTGTCCACCCACATAGCTGCTTCATATTAAAATTGATGTGATGTATTACAGCTGTCCTTCAACTAATTAAAATGTGGACCTGTCAAAGAATAAAATTATCAAACTCAATTTTTGTTTCTCTAAGGTATTTTCCTCACAATGTCATTGTTTTCATCTTTAATATTTCTTTATTATATTCAGTGTATAATTTATTTATATGAAGATACACCATTGTAGTTTTCACTTTTCAGTAAAATTATGTACCTGTCTGCACATACAACACTGTATATGTAATTATTTACATATTTAATTTTATTCCTTGCTTAACTTTGTCTTAATTTTAGCAAAAACGATTTAAATATATTGTTAACCAGACTGAAACTTCAGCGTGTTATCTGGAATAGTTTCACTATATCAGGGGGTAAAAAAAGGTCAGATTTTAAGTTATATATATTCTCTAGTGTCATTTACATTTGACTTTGCCACTGATTGTACTGTTCTACATCCTTTGTAAAATGTTCTGTACAATACAGCAGGCACAATATGGGACACCTGTGGCTATGGCTTACAATATGGGTGCTTCAACAATGTTGTGAACAAACTGCAAGCATGAAAACCCAAGACATAGGAAACCTTCTCTTCAACCAGAGAGATTCACTGCATAAAAGAATGTAAGTATACTAGGTCCCAGTATAGAGTGAAAATTAAATAATGTCATTAATTGGTCCCACAATATATTTCCAGGTTGGTAGCAATAACATCACACCACAACTACATGGACTGATGTGATTCTCATGAGTTACAATCATGGAACATCCCTATATTTTCAAGTATCACATTAACGTTCTGTTGCATTTGAGAAAGTAGAGAATAATTTGTAAAATACAGAGGAATGAGGCTTAGCCATAATTCAGGTACTATATGTTGGGTTCTTCCTGCACAGAACTAGGTTCAATCCTGGGTGAGTTCAAGTGAGATTCATGGTGAATGAAATGGCACTTGAGCAGGTTTATCTTGAAATTATTCAGTTTTCCCCGATGCCATTCCATGAGATGCGTAATAGTCTTGACCAAGCAGCATATTATCATACCCTTGGTCAAGAGCTTCATCTCTGATCTGGTACTTGGCTGGTCTCAGAATAAAGGCAGTTTTAATACAGTGAAAAGAATACCTAAAGGGAATTCAAATTAACTGATCTGGTAACATCAAGATCAACATTAAATCACTTAATTACTATGGCATTAGAATATTCCTCAAGCACCTTCATCTTATGTTAGAATTATGATGTTGAAACATTTTCAAACACACATGCAGAAAGTTATTTTCATAACTGTGTACTTGTGCTTTAACCAACCACATGAATTCACCTCTAAAGTGCTTCTGTATCACATTTTCAGGACTCTTGTATAAATAGGATTTTCTGAGTGAAAACTGTACTATATAAATTCATGATTCATTCCTTGATTTTCAGCCTCCAACAGATAAATTCCACAAATCTCAACAAGGGAAGCTCAACTTGGCTTCCAAATGCAAGTGTAACCAGACACAATAACAGGTACAAGTTTCACAATATAAATGCAGCAACAGCTCGAGGAAAGAGAGAGACCAGCAACCAACCATTTCATATAACTGTTTTATACCCAGAAGATAATAAAAACAAAGCAATAAGACAAAAGTCAAGCAAGTCCAAACGATGCCAAGACAACAGAAAAGGAAGCAGGAAGATAAATTATCATCATGACTATCATAAAAAGGGCACAAACATATCCAATTACATGAGTGAGGATGACAGTATTAATTATCACAAATCAACATATCCTTCATTTATTGCTGATAATGTAAACAGAAACAATGGTGAATTTAAAACTGACAATAATGGTGTTCAGAATGCCCAACTGATTGCTGTACCTCAAGCTATGGATAACAGTTTTGATAACAACAGACCCAAGTCACTTGCCAGTTACATACAGCAAGCATCTAAATCTCAAGAAATACTCAGGGATGGGAATGTACTCCAACAGTTACTGACAGTTAGTAACGGCTGTGATATTGGTAATAATGGTTGTAATGCTGGTAGTAACGGTTTAGAAAAGCAGCTAATGAATACTGAAAAGGAATTCAAACTGAATAAATATAAATCTGGGAGACCATCAAGAGATAAAACTAGATATATTGATATTAAACATCAGAATGAATGGAGTGCAAAACTGAACCCTCAAATTTATTCCCATCTGATGAGTGACACATCTACAAATCCTAGCCTCTTGTCAGACAATGTAGAAGAATACTATTATCCATATGAAAGAACAAAATCAATGTCTCACAATCCAAAAGGTAGAAATTCGCCACTGAAGGAAAGTATGCACTCAGAGTTAACTTCGCCAAAAAATTATTTGTACAAAAATGAAAACTTCCCACAGCCAACAAAATATCAAAATCATCAATATGACAATGCACAAACCTCAGATCCAGACCTGTATGGAAACACACATGAAAATACTTACTGGAATCCTGAACAAGAAAATCATCAAGATGAATATACAATTTACACAAATTACTCACCAATGTATCATTTACTGAAGCACAATACATCACCCATCACCAATCCTGAACTCTCTACAATAGACTGTGAAAGTGAACATACAGTAAAGAAAGCTATTGAGATAAATGAAGACACAGGACACAAGGACATGCCTTTGTACCTTCCAAGTGATGATAGAAGACTGATGCAAGGTGAGTTTCTATCTCAAGATCACAACAATTCACCACATGTTCAAAAGCCACTAAGCAACAAGCAAAAATATCTTCCTGGTAAATCTTCTGAAGTTCTGCAAGAGGATGAAGTATCAACTCAGAGTATATCAGATGGAGAGGCTAAGGAAACTCCCATTTATTACTATGAAATGCCCAGTATGTCCAGTCAAAAACTAAAATTTTCAACATCTGAAGATGGAACAAGATTGACAACAAAAAATTCAGTGCTTTCATTACCTGCTGCCAATCATAACAAAATACCAAGTAATGCACAAATACATACACCATCTTTTCAAAGAGATTTTAATGAAATATCAAACAACATGACTAAACAGAAGCTGAACAATGTCATTATTTCAACACTTCATGACCTTCCTGTTATATCTCACTACTCAACTGATGGAAATAAAATACCTTCTGATGAATTACCTTACTTTAATAAAATGAATGAAGAATTACAGTTCATGCAGAATACAGAAGGTACTTCACCATACAGCTCAAAAGCTTCAACCCTCACAAAAGAACTAATAAGGGTGGGATCAATGACAGACTATCCAAAGTACAATTACGAACACAGAGATGCCAATACTCCTCCATACACAGATAAAGAATCAATATACTTCAGCAGTATTAATGGTAGAGAAACTGCTTTAAAAAATATGCCTCTTCGAACACCAACATATCACATGACAAACCCTGATGAGTGTGCACCATTATCACATAAAGCTGCTACCACACCTCAATATTATCAAGAAATTTTAAAACCATCTAACTATATCAATGTTGGTAATGTGCCTTTTCAAAGTCAGTCATTTACAAGTAGAACACAACCCCAACCACAGCACCACAGACAAAAGAATTACAAAGTAACTGACAGTAAAAAAGACATTAAAGATTCTGTTCCTGAACAAAATCCCTGTGCAGTGCCTGCTACTACTCCACAGATAAGAGACAATTTTAAATACAGATATTCAGCTGCAACAAGTCCAAATGAAGCTGTAAGTGCAATTCTCAGTGTGCCTGAAGAAATAAATAGTGTTCCAAATACTGTACAAAGTTCTGTCAATGATGATAATCACTTAATTCTACAAAGTGAATCTCCAGAAGGTGTTTCTCCATTTAATTTACCTACCTATTTGGGTAGGGTTTCAGAGAGAACAAAGAATGAATTTTTGCGTATATTTAAAGACAATGAATATGTACCTACTTCAGCAGTAACATCTTCAGAACATGCACATTTGACATCTGCACCAACAAACTCTATCAACTTGGAATCCAGAAGAAAATCTGGAGACAATTTTAGGGAAACAATCAAAAGTCCAGTAAATCAGTATGTGTCAAATATTCAAGCAAGTTTAGCAGAACTGTATTTTGCAGCTACACATCCACCCCTTGAAAGCACAATTACACAGAAAACACTTGCATCTGGTTCACATGAAATTTATCCTCAAACAATGAGCCTGAATGAGTATGAAAGAGAAATAAATATGGAACAGGATGTAATACCAACACTGCCATCAAATGAGAAAACAATCTATGGCACAGCAAAACTGATAAATTCAGAAGAAAATAACAAAGATGTTTCAAATTCAACTATGTCACCATATAAGTCCAATCAAATATCCCTGGAAGAAAGCTTGGACTTTTCAGAACCAACTCAGTATGCTACAGATATTATGATTACTGAAAAAGAAATGAAGGAAATGTGGAATGTACAAAAAAAGCAATCAACAAGAGTCATGCAAAATTCTCAAGAAATGAGTAGAATAGAAGATGCTGCAGTCCCAATCACAGATGTTGACCACTCTGTAATAAGTTCATCAATAGATGAGTTAAAAATTCAGCTTGATTCAGTCCCAGTAAATACAACACACCAACCAAACATAAAAGACGTTACACACAAGCAAGACACAAGTTACTCTACTATTACAATAAGGGAATTGCTGACAGCGATACCATATAACCATGTATCAGACGTTGCAGATATGTATGTCACTACAGAAAGACAGGATGAGCAGATGGCAATACATTCAACATCAACAATGAGTAACCACAAGAATGCAAATCCAGGAGGATCAACTGTACCTGACAAGAGAGCATCAGCAGAAAATAAAGGATATTATTACTTCCCTCCTGCAACTGTATCATTACCAGAGAATATATCAAACACTATTCACATGAATGCTAAAATTCCTGAAACTTTGCCAACCATACAAGAAAACATTTCAGAACACTTTTATGCAACCACAGTCAGGCCACAACAGACAGAACTCCAAGAAATAAGTGAGAAGAGAGAACTAGAAATTATTAAAACAACAGTACCAGAAAAAGTAATTAATTTTACAACAAAGGTGTCAACATATTTAAAGATGGACAAGCCAGTTACCCCAAGAAGGGCTTCAGCACATGTGAGGAAGCAAGGAATTTTTGGTTATGCGACTGATAACAAATCAGACGTACCATTAACTGTACACGGATCCTCTCAGAACTATGAGCAGCAAACAGATACACAGATGGATGTTCATAATGCAATAAAGACAAAAGCAAATGAAAATTACACAAGTCCAGAAACTTTTACAGCTGACACATCAAGAGAAACACAAGAGACTTATCTTGCTGGTCCACAATCTCCAAATAAAACTGATAAATATGAAAGTAAAGAATCAGAGTTAACAACATCCCAGACTGTTGCAACATCCAGAGAAATAATGAATGAAATGGAAGTAACAAATTTACCTAAAAGATCAAACTCTTCACAAAATGCATACTTTGCAATACCACATGAAACTCAAGATGTCAAGAGAATAACAGCAAACCTTGATAAACTTATTAATGACACAAGTTGGATACAGAAGGATGGTTCACCACATCTGAATACAGATGAATATGGTACTTTACAAAATGCTCCTTTTACTAAAACACCACAACAAAATCATACCAAAGATAAGATGAGAAATGCTATAAATGTGAAATCAGGTTTTGAAAATGTTGTACCTGACAGATGGAATCAAAACAATGTGCAAGATGACCCTGTTACTCAACTAATGAATAATACAGAAATGTATCAGAAATCTGTTACTACTTCAAGTAATTTACATGCTGAAGTAGACACAGGTACACTTCAAGAAAACATGGTTACAAACAGTTACATCCAGTTTCATGAAACAAAATTTGGAGAAAGCACTCAGCAGCTTCCTGAATTACAGTATAAGCAAGATAATGTAATTTTTAGTGAAAAAAGTATAAATGGTAACAAAACTTCAGCAAAGATGAATGGTCACAGAGACAACTCCACCTTGCAACATCTCATACCTGAAACAACAGAACCTTTCCTGACATTGGACACTTTATCATCCAAAGACATTTTGCATGAAAATATGGGAGACATGATAAAAAAAACACTAGAGGATATTGTTAATTCTACAGATATTGTGAATAAGCCTCAAGGCAAGAAATTACATCAAGTTCACAATACACTACAGCCCTCTGACTCTCTTCAACCACTTACTTATACAACAAACAGTCTACCATTGATGCTGTCAGAAGATGGCATTAACACAAATCTTACTAGAACTGACTATGCAAATGGATCAGAACCACAAATGGACATAACTACAAATCAGACACTAGTAATGCATCATGACAAGAATCAGAGACATTACTCAGAAACTGCAGGATTATCCACCAGTAAGATAAATACCTATGAAGGCAGTACAGACCTGGAGAACGAAATGGCTCAACAAAGGCACACTTCAAAATATCATACACAGGTTGAAGCATACAATAACCTTTCTGCTCTAAAACATAACAATTTTCATTCTGGTAACACACAGCTACCAAAAGAAATGCAAGAATCAAATAATAAAAAACAAAAGGAGAGAGAAAATACTACCCAGCCAGAAAATCTTTATAAAAATTTACATCAAGAAAATTTCAAAGATGCAAACAAAGATAGCAATGTTAAACAAGATACAAAGTTTGAAACTGAAGATGCTAAAGGCTACACTCACAACCATGAAGTACTACCACCCAATTACAGAAAAGTTGTTCCAAAGTATAATACAGACAGTTCTGCTTCCACACTGCAAATCCAAACTCAATCTAAGAACAAAGAAATTTATCATAGTTCCTTTGACCACACAGTTGAAGCAAAGTATATGTCTGAAGATTACAATAAGATATCTCATGCTGTTACACAGTATACATCAGCACTACATGTGCAAAACACTAAACACACTGCCCAAAGTCAACAATTTGGAGTGGAAACAGAGGAAACAACCACAGTTCAAGAAGTGTCTGAAAGAAGCAGAAACATACAAAACTCTGACACAACAAATGTAGTCAAGCAATCTAAAGATGATGTTAAAATTACAATGGGTGCTTTAGAAAAAACACTGATGTTCTTGTTTCAAAACAAAGACAAGATAAAATTGTTATTAAATTTACCATATTCACACACAATAACTTCTGCTCCTACCACTATATCAACTGGTAGGGAAAATCAATCTCATCTGACCAAACAACCTGCAAATGTGGACCAGGGGCAAACAGAAACCATGAACTCTGGTTTCAATGAAATTATACCTGCTGGTCTGGTTACAGCACTGAATCATGAATCACTGAAGAATATACTGATGAGTTCCATTAAACCTAAAGAAACAACATATACTCCACCTTCAAGTCTACAAGGAGAAACAGGGCAAACAAAATCTCCACAACAAATTCACACTATTAAATCAGAGTGCTACAGAACTTCAGGTATCTCGGAGGAAAAACACAATTTAAAAAATGTAGAAACACTGCAACAATCACCTATATTAAGAAACAAATACTCATATACTAATTTTCTGGTACCACCTTTAAAAGTGAAAATAGAAGTGGCATACGAGCTGGACAAAAAACCAAAGCACGAGTTTGAATTGACAGCAGATACTGGGGACAGTGATAATACAAGTGTTACAAGTGTGAACCTGGCTTATCTGCCACAGAAGAGTAACATGAGAACAGAGCATTCCACTTATGATGAAAATCAAAGCCTGTTTGGTGGCCCCACAACAGACACTCGTAATGTATTTGATTCACCTCAGCTATTTAAAAGATTTTATATGTACGACGATAAGCAAAGTTTACAACCAGAACTCTACAATAAAAAAAGGTCATATAACAAAGAATATATTCCTGAAGAAAGTTATCAACAAGCAATACAAAACAACATAGTGGTTAGCAGACCTAGAGCTCTGGGTAGCCAGAAGTATAAAAGGTCATCTGAAGAAATCATCCAATCCAAACCCAATGCATTCAAAAACTATCATAAGCTATATAAGCACCACTCATCAGACATAAATAACAGTGAAGAAAATACCAGAGCTTTGATCTTTGGATTCAAGAACAAGGAAAGGAATAAACAAGGAAATGACAATGACAATGGAGAAACAATGCATGATGCAATTCATATGTCTATGAGTAACTTATTAAAGAAGGACTTTAACAAACACAATATTAACTATTATAAAAAATTATCTCCTGAAGAAATACAAAAGATTTCTCAGAATGTTTACAGATATTCAAATGACTGTAAATACCCTATTAATTATAAAAATAGTAAACAGAATGACGAAATTCACAAAAATTCCCTTCTATGTTTACTTCAGCTGAACAATATGTTCCGTAAGCCTGTTGACGACAATATGCAGCAACTGTATTCATCAAGTGACAAGTATGAAACAAATGAAAACAATTACAATACTTTAGTAAGAAGAATGAGAAATACATTTCAACACATGACTACAGATTCATCAGATGAAGAAAATGAGGTGAATCCTAAATATCAGTCTAGTAGTTGTCAGCCTTATAAATGTCAAGGTGTTCTCACATCTGAAATGAAAATTGTAACAAGTGTTTTAAAATGGCTTAAGAATTTTGTAACAGGCACTAGGAAAACATAACATATAAAATCATGACTACAAACTGCAAAGTACACTAAGAAATGGATGGACTGAGGCAGATAAAGAATGACACAACAAACAGGTGTGGCAAACTCCATGCATCAGAGTCCTTGATAAGCTGATAATCATTCATTACCATGCTCACAAGTCTGCCACTGGACTCTATCCTGGGCCAGCTGAATCCAGTCCATATCTTCACATCCAATTTAAGATCCATTTCAATATAATCCTCACCTGTGCCTAATTCTCCCATCTCTTCACTTAAGGTGTACCCATTATAATGTATATATCTCTCATTTACCTTATGCATACTACATGTCCCATTCCTCTCATCTTCCTTGATTTTATCAATTTAAAACAGTGGTGACAGAAGATACAACACAGAGTGTAAATCTTTGGGAAACACTGCATTACATGAACAAAGGATTGTTTAAATCTACTGCAATCTGTGAAGTTCTGTGAGTAACGTTTTCGAACAGTCATTATTTTCTGGCACCACTGTTGTACTACTATATTTACTAGTACAATTAATCTGTGTCCTGTAACAGGTATTTGTGATTAAAAATGTCTAAGCTAATAAACTAGTTTTATCAACAGTGTCTTTGTTCTACATGTCCTCATGTCGCCCTCAGTGGACTAGTGGTTAGCGTGCTAACCACTAGACCCAAGGTTCACGTGTTCAAACCCGGCCGAGGTCGATGGATTTTTAGGGGTGATAAAAGTCTGTAGCACAACTTCCTTCGGAGGGGAAGTAAAGTCCCATGTTGTAGATTTACAGCATGTAAAAGAACCTTACAAGCATGATACAAGATGTTTCGTCAGCAAAATTCAGTGGACATTTCTCACCCAAGTCTCCTGTTTCTCTGCTAGATGGCTCTGGCATCAAATCAAGATAGAGTATAAATTGTGCAGAGTTAGTGGGGTCACTCACTACTCTCACTAGCACCATAATGCCCAAACAGGCATTGCTGGACATGGAAAATGAAATGAAACATGTCCTCATAACAAAAGCCTGTGTATATATGAATGCAGGTATAATTCTTGCTGTATCAAGCACTCAGCTGAGATGCCAAAATGAAGAATATAAAACAGGTGTTTCACTGTAAATGATATTATCAAGTGTCTTGTCTGTGACATGAACTGGGCTACCAGGTACTAAAAATTACACATCATGATAGGATATGCAAATGGTATAAAGATCAGTAAACAAAATGGTAATGTAACTGGGAACTGTGACAGGTGATCTGAAAAACTATCAGCTACTGATACCTATGGAAACAGAAGGGAAAGCAAAACCCCAAATATTTCTATCACAAAACAGGAAAAGGGCAAATTATAAGAGGATAAGAATTACTTTAGTATGGCATTTTAGAATTCCTCAGAGGTGTGAAATTATAATTTTTGTAAGAGTACAACAAACTACAGTTTATTCTTATATTTATAACCAACAGTTATTTTAATTTCAGTACAAAATTTTACTTTTGTCTCTTGTGGTTGCAGATTCATATTCATACTCAATTTCAACATGTGGTCTCTCACTCTTCCTATATGCCGCTGGCTTTGAGGGTCTTGATTTCTGTTGTTTTGTGCCTTTATATGATGTGCCTGGCTTCATCTTTGCAGATGTAACATCCTGGAATTTAAATGTGTAATGACTTGAATATCACATGTATGACATACTTTTAGCCTGTGTTATGATTTACAAGTGACAACAATTTCTCTTGCTGTTTTGCTGTATTTCATTTCTTTCTCAATGGAAGCACATGAAAACATTCTTGACGATGCCACCTTGCTCTTTTTAACCCATCCAAGTACTGAGTGTGTTATTGAAAATAATTGTTTTGTAACTGTGATTCAATGCTGTTCCAACTTCCACCACCATAATGTGTCCAAGCTAGACTAAACTTAACTTTCTTGATTCTGCATCAAATCACATGCATAAGTCCAAAACAGGAACTACAGTAATGACATGCTGGCTGGCTGGACCAATTTGCACATTTCATAAATTAATACAGAGCATAGATAAGCCAATGACAGGCAGGAGAAATGTCAAGTACTTGGAGGGAAAAACCTACCACAGTGTCAAACTGTCCAACACAAATCCCATATGCAATGCTCTGGGAATGAAAATGGTTATCTTAAGCAGAATTAAATTTTCCAACACAAATACACACATACCTCAATATCTGAAGTTTCTGACATTTCAAAGTCTTCATCATTTACGTAAGTCACTTCACCTGAAGAATCATTTTCCTGGGAAAAATATAATATTTAATGGCACAAGATGTGGATCCTTAATTATAATATAATACAATTTTACTAGACACAAATATTAAATGAAAATATTATGAAGACAATCTTTGCAAGAACAAAGTACATCATAAAAACCTTTCAACTTCTAGAAGTTCCCTAGGATGCAATATGATGCAGAAAGACAAGTGCTAACAATACTGCATCAATTTTGGACTGCATAAATGAAATTTTGCAGAAGTAGAATAACATAACAGTCATAATCAAATTAGCGATTATCAAGAATTTGATACTAAAAGTGGTGTGAAGAAAACTTGTAAAATGAAAATCTGCTTCCATTGGCATGATGTCCAGGCCAAATGTCACTGAAATACTTTAAGTATGAACACTTGTACAAAGAATGCCTAACATTTAATGTATGGAAATAGGGGATTCAAATCCCCATACTATAGGGCTGTTGGCTGGATTTTAACTTTGGGGTTAAATGGTTTACCAGTATGCTACTGCAACACACAGCCAGATGGACTGCAAGCTTTAGGCATGGCCAATAAAGGAAAATTTACATAATCACCCCATAAAGGATTCATGTACATTTAATAGAACATTCTAGTTCATTTGCTCTTATTTGACAAATAATGCATGTATCTTTGCAAGAACAATCAATTTTCAATGGCTTCCATTGTAATAAAATTTTGTAGTAAGACTCTATCCTCTGCAGCCATAACATAGTTCTTTGATTATTCTGATAAGAAGTACCATTTTTGTTTGTAGCAACTATTGCATACAATGACTCATGAGTGGGCAGAGTTAATTTTTTTAACATTCTGAATGACCATTATTGCATTACATAACATTTGCTACATGAACTACTCCTTATCTTTGTATCACTTAAGCTGGTATAACACCAATGTTCTAGAAACGTATTTGGGAGATACCTGATCTGAAGTTTGGCGAAGCCATTACTTATTCTAGCTAAGGTTTTCTGCAGTCTTTCCATATAAATAAACCATAACTCAAAACGTTTTTCTATTCACCATTCACAATTATCTTCCCACCTTGTGTGATGCTATATAATAGCTGCAGTTAAAAAATCATAATTAAGTAACCTAAGAATCAATCAATAATAGTAATGTATAGGGACTTCACATTTACCTCTGCATCAGTGCCAACTACATCACTGTCATCAGCATCAACATCTTCATCATCATTCATCATTACATATTCTGAAATACTATCTTTTTCCAGTTCTTCTTCCACTTCTTGTTCCACATCAACAATTTTCTGAAAAGGAAACATACCTAGTTTTTGATGTCAAATTTCCTTCAAAGAAAAATCATTATCTCTGAAAGAGGGTCACGAGAAAATAAGTGTCTGTATTACAACAGATCAAGAGTATTAAACAATTCCTCTATTTTCCAATACTGCTGTCCATGTAGTGATTTTTTTTAAATGTGTTTCATTTGTCTGGGCTAAAGTTTGTACTGATAAATGGTTTAGAGATGGAAATTCTGAGTGTGTGTGTCTCTGTACAGGTAGTCATTCTTAGGACACAACGATCTTCACAGAAAAGTGGAAATAGGTAGCAGTGAAAGGTGAGAATAATACTGGAGGTTTTACCTCTTCCGCCTCTTCCTCTACATCAATAATTTCCTCTTCCACTTCTTCTTTTTCCAGTGCCTTTTCAAAAGCTGTTTGTGGAAAGTTGTAGATGTCTCCATACTTGAAACAGGAAATGTAATTTTTTATATATCAGGTACATATTGATCATAAGCTAAATCAGTCCTTGAGAAATTAGCACAGTGTACTTCATCTCTGAAAATTATTTAATGCAACTACCCAATTTTGTATAACAATTTTATTACTGTACCAAAGTTACTTTAATTCTGTATTCAAAGAATTTATATTCAGTAGTACAGAAATGACAATTCTCATTATAAGAGCACCATGACATGACAGACACAGTGTGTCCATTACTAACAGATGATTTGAAGGCTCTATGATTATTTACTTATAACACACAAGAAAAACTTTTGTACTACAATACATTCACACAACATTAAAGTTCTTTCAAATGTATCCACCATGTACAATGCTTTTACAAAGGCTGTATACAATAAAACCAGCAAATGGTTATTAATCAGTAATATACGTTCACAATGTATAGCACAAGACTTTATCACTTAAAAAGAACAGACATAACTTGGAATTAAGTCCAAGTCAGTCTGCTATTGATAATATTCTGAAATATGGCTGCTCTCACATCTTTGAAGGCAGTGCTCTCTTTCTTGCACCTTTAACTAAATCAGAGATTTTCTCCTGTTTCACATGAAAAGAAATATAAATGCTGGTTGCAAATTAATTTCTTGCACTTCTATATTACATAATACTCTTCAAATGTAATTGATAACTAAAGAGGTCCCTCACCACGCCTCTCCTTAGTCTCTCCACCAACTGTTTCTCAATGGCAGTGTCCAGCCGGGCAGCAATCAAAGCTTTAGCTTCTCTCCTTCGCTCTCGCACTTCAATCTTGCGCTGAAGAGGCACCAACTTCTTCCTACAACAGTGTATAAAATTAATGTGAAGTTGTGTTGGCATGATACATTTAATGCATCCCACTTACAGGCTGATTTCTAAAATCTGTTTAGAGCACGGCTTTATCAGGTAAATCACACTGTCAGTTATTGCTGCCCCAGATTTAGCACCATCTCAACTAATTATATACATTTATATACAACTTAGTAGAAATGTAACAGCTGAAATATATCTTTCATCATCTACGTTTTAAAAGTCCTGATATTATAGCTGAGTGAAGTGTGTTAAGAGCAACAGCAGTGCCAATAATATAGGATGACAAAACTACCAACAACTGTATATTCTTTCTGTGCCCCTACATTTCCTATGTGAATCTATCTCTATCCTTGATCTTGTCATGTCTACTATAAAAATTCTGAATGTTGTGGCTGAGTTCTTACAACTCTTGCTTCACACTGTTAATTTATGGCAATGATGACACTTTGGATATTTACAATAAACATGGATTTATTTCACATACTGTTACAACTCATTATTTCTTTACTCCACTTATAGCAACTAAAATAATACTGCTTGAAATAACTGTTCTCTATTAGTTACCCTTCACGACTTTCAGTTTGTTGGTAGCCAGATCACACTTGTTCTCTTTTTCACTTCTTTACTCAAGCACATAGCAATGCAAGCCTGTAACCACTAGCCTTCACATAGAGACTGAGTCATTGTACAGTCACTTGATACTTCTTCCACAGTGAAAATATCCTGTCCCTCAACTCTGCTTTTCCTTTACAAAAATGTCCCTGCAAGCTCTTGGGATCTTCCAGCTGCTGCCAGCCAGAAACTAGCAGACACTTTCATGCACATCAGCTGCCTGAATTTACTTCCTGCTGTGGTGGGGAAGGGGATAACTCATGTTTGCATGAATCACCCTGCAGTAACTACTCAGGCTTGCTGACATCATGGCATACACAACATTCTGATTCACTAGATTCAAATCTTGGCCTAGACTTCTTTATGATTTTCCTCTATCCCTCAATCGGTAATTTTCTTTTCTTTATACTTTATGGATGAGGAAAATCTGAATAAATTAAAGGGTATAACTAACTCCCTGACAGCAGAACCCACAGGTTCCACATCAACACCACCAAAGCCAGTCACCGGACATGATTCTGACGCAACTCCATCCATTTCCCATCCTCAGAGCTAACCTTCACTCCTATTTCCCATAGATCCATCTTGATATTATCCTCCCACCTCCTGCTTGGTCTGTCCAGTGGTCATTTTCCAGGATTTCTCACCAAAATTCTGTATGCACCCCTTGCCTCACAACCCCCCCCCAATGTGTACTACTTGCCTAGCCCATCAAAGCCTCCTAGATTTCACTATCCTTACTATGCTAGGTGACCTGTACAATTCATGCAGCTCCTTTTTATGCAATATTCTAAATTCCCCATTTATTTCACCCCTCCTAGGTCCAAATATGTTCCTGAGCACCTTTTTTCAAACACTTGTAATATACATTCTTCCTTCAAGGTAACTGCAGGAGTTTCTGCATTCTTGGTTATGGTACCCACACCATCCCCAAACAAAATTAACATAATCAGAAGCAAGTACCTGGTGAAGACGATCCAATTAGAGCCATTCCTGATTCCCTATGACCTTCCTGATAACATGTTCTAAAACAAAATTAAAAAGCACTGGGGAAAAAGCATCCCCGTTTTAGGCCACTAAGCATTGGGAACTGATCTGAGAGGTTACCTATACGAATTCCACTAAATACCTCATCCATACACATCCCAATTAACCTAACAAGTTTCTTTGATATTCCAAATTCCAAATGCCATATAGCACCTCTCCTCTAAATTAAAAGGTATAATTAGTTATTACTTGGTATTATTAGCCCTCCAGGCAAATCCTGGGATAAAGCCTTATAAATCTTTTCCAGTTCATCATAATCATCTTAAAAACCACAGGTAAATAAACCAAGAATTGTATATCTTGAAATCACATGTACAACAGTATTAAATCCTTACATACTTAATAAACTAAAATTTCCCTGGAATATGTTTAGTTACAAAAACATTTAAATGTTATTTCAGTTTAACATTCATATGTTACAGTATATAAGGAAGCATCTAGATAAAACTACATCAAAATAACTAACAAAATACCCACTTTCGTCGTAATTTGAGATTCCTCATTCTGATTAGATACTGAGTGATCTTCACAAATCTCTGCTTGCATTTTGACTTCATGTAATTTGGCCAATACAACATGTTTTCATTTATCTGATAGATTGCCTTCTCAAAGTTTCTTGATAACTTCACTTTCTCCCATGTGTTTTTAGGGAATGCTGCTCTGTAAAACAAATCATGTCTCAATAACCTGCACATACTTCCTTTACACTTCCACCTGAAAAGTTGAATGTGGCTACTGAAAAAATGCAGGAACAAAACTTTAAATTAATATGTTCAGATTTGTGGTCTTCAGGCCTGCTGGACAAGGTATAGGAAGAGAGGAGGTAGAATTAGCAAAAGTCACAGAGCCAATCAAGAGACCACTGCTAATGCTAATGCTAATGCAACTATTACCTGCTCTGAAAATATATGACACTAACTTCCTCTGTAATGAAAAGCCAGCAACTAATGGCCTGTTGCTCTGTAACATGAACAAATAGGGGGAATGTGAACATACAGTATGGTGATCTCATAGGACAACTTTCTTCCTTGAGGGAGGAAAGTATACCATAGCAAGCATGTAATGGTTGTAAATTACCGCTCGGCTGTCTTCATGTACAGGTAAATTATACCACTTTCTTCTCTAACTGTTGCATACTGACTATTTGCTAGCGGACACGATGAACGAGTGCACAGACCACTGAAGTTATATTCATTCTTGCAGAACCGTTGACTGGTAGTACTGTAAGAGGAAAAGTATAGTATTGCAAACAATTCACATACAACTGAATCCATTTCCACACACACACACACACACACACACAGCCCTACAGAAAATGATACTGTATTATCTTGAAATTTTAGTAAGCTGTTCTTTCTGACATAACCAAGGTGATATATACATTCCCTTTTCAGTAAGTTTTCTTTACTGACATATGCAGTAGTAGTTTGGGTAAATGAAGAACAAGGTGGACAGACAAAATCATTGATGCTGATGGAATCAGAATGGGCAACGGCCATGTAGTGGATAACAACAATAATAAAAAAAAGTTTTACAGAACTGCAAATTTTGTAAAATCACAGAAATATAATATTCCAGAAACTGACATATTTCCAATTATATTTTATCATAAACACATTTTCCAGCAAATTTTGTATTTTGCATGATACTGTATGGCGCTGACAGACACACAGATTTTCAAAAATAACATAAAACAATAAAAATATAATAAATGAGAATCCAAACAATTTTATTCTGTTAGAGATGTAAATTTAATAGTTATACTAATTCCCAAAGGACAAAATTTACTTAAGATTTATACTAATGTGATTTTCTGATTGGAAACTAGGCCAGAAAGGTATAATCAATATTTGTATACACACATTTTTCGCAAATTCCGAATTGTTAATAAAAGATAATATCAGTTACCTTACTTCCTACAACTTTAGTTTCTAACTATATTAGTCAAAGGGTGTTAATGTCTTCTTTATGTTATCTGAATAAATACTGTTACATTATAAAGCACATTAACCCTGTGGCAGCATACTGGTCTCATACACATGGGGTAACAGGATCGAATCCTGCTCAAATCAAAGTTTTTCTTCTTCTTTCATGCACCCACCATAGTTACTTTTCTTTATAGAAAGAATTATAAAATCGAAGTTTTGTATTTTCCAAAAATCTATAACCTTCACTGTACGACCCTACTCTAAATAGTGTTAATGTTGATCCCACCTTACAAATCTTTCTGTCCATACCAAATTTCGTCCAAATCCATCAAGTAATTCTCTAGTTGAATCATGCACACAGACATGTATTTATATTTAAAATTCTGAGGTTTATGTATATTAATTTGTAAAATTATTTTTCATACTTGTATTGCAGAATCTGAAATTTATGTACATTGATATGTGAAATACGTTCTTGTACTTGTGTTGAAAGTTGTGAAGTGTATGTATATTGTATGAAATGAAATGTTCTACATCCTTTGGTTGAGTCCTAAGAAGGATCTATGGAATGTAAATAAACTCTACTCTACTCTACTCATGACCAGTCCTATATGCGTTCATTTTTTGCACATTATGCAAAGAAATCTGACATAAAAATACTGTACATACCTCACTTTGAATGAGCAAAATGACTTGTTAATGATACTCCAGACGACCTTAAAGGAAGAATACAACAGGAATTATGAAAACAAACTATTCATTCACACTTCACGAAACTACAGAACATACCTTATATAACACTGTGGCAGAATAATGCATTGCACTTCAAATGTATGCAAATACTTAAATCCGGGATAAAAAAGTATATTATACAAAACAAAATTTTGAGGTTACTGACGCACATGTTAATATACAAGGCAGCAGGAACAAAATATTATATATTTACTTACATCATCGTGTTGCATTTTACGTATTTCGTTATACTTTAATTTTATATTACAATTTCGATGATGATGAAGACAATCTAAATTTCTAAAACCTTAAAACAAAAATACCACGCTCACTTCTCCGCAATAACAAACGTGATCGTCACACACATTATTACCAACATCAAGACCAGCAACTAAATGTTTTTAAGAATACTGCTGTTTTCTGGGTTGTTGCACCATGTAGTCAGTCTGGTAGAAGTTCACGACATCTCAAAGGTGCTTGCTGCCTCCATCATCAGAATGATAAAATGCTGATAAACTTCTACCACACTACACGACACAACGACCGAAAAACTAGAATCTTCATAGTCACTGCCGTGAGAACCTCAAATGCTACTCGATGCTTTAAGTTGGCAACGTAGGCGACGTATGCGGTGAACCGCGTACTGTCCTACCATCTATCAACAGCACTGCCAAGAATACAGTAGGTACAAATTTTGTCATCTAACTTCAGGATTTCCCTCCGTCGAAATTGAAATATCTGAACTTTGCCACATTTTCAAAGCTTCCATTAGCTATCTTTACGTTACGATTTTCCCCTGCATTTTAGTGACACGATGATGAATTTAGAAGAATGAGATGGGTAGGGCATGTTGTACGCATGGTTGGCGCAAGAATTGTGCACCGGATTATGGTCGGGAAGCCTGAAGGGAAGAGACCACAGGGGAGAGACCTAGACGTAGATGGGAGGATAACATCAAGTGAGATGTATGGGAAATAGGAGTTAAAGGTGATTGGATTCTGCTGGCCCAGGACATGGACTGGTGGAGGGCTTTGGTTATTTCAGTGACGAACCTTCAGATTCCCAAAGCCTTCTAGTTAGTTATTTTGGTGACAAGACATCATGATATACTTAGTTTTCTCTTGTGTTTACTTCTAGACCAACCTCCTCACTAGCATCAATTAGAGCGTCTGTGCTTTTCTTTATGGTATTTATGTTATCCCCAATAGATTCAAATCATCAGCATAGACCAGAAGCTGATGTGTCTCATTCAATTTCAGTCCCACCTGGTTTTCTTGGACCTTCCTAATTGAATATTCTAAAGAAGTTGAAAAGCAATGTCAATAAAGCATCACTTTGATTTAGACCATTCTGAATAGGAAACATGTCAGACAAATGTTTACCTATACAGACTGTACTATAGGTTTCATTTAAACACATTTTAATAAGACTAACTAGTTTCATGGGAATACTAAACTCAGTGAGAATATTGTACAATACTTCTCTTTTACCTGAATCATTTGTTTTCTTGAAGTCTATGAATAGCTGATGTACTTTCTCTCTGTACTTCAATTTTTTCTCTAGAATCTGATAAACACCAGAAATCTGATCAATAGTTGATATATTACATTGAAACCCATATTGAAGATCCCCAATAATTTCATCTACATATGGACTTAACTTTGAGAGAAGGATGTTGGATAAAGTTTTGTATAAAGATGATAACTGTGATATGCCTCAATAATTACTACAGTCAATTTTATTGCCCTTCTTGCAAATTGAAACAATAATAGACTCCTTCCACTGCTCAGGCAATTCTTCCTTATTCCTTAGAATTAATGAGTTTATGGATATCAGAATGTAATGTTTCACCTCCTACTTGAATCAGTTGTGCTGGAATTTGATCACTACCTGGCAATTTATACCTTTTCAACTTTTCAATAGCAATTTCAACCTCAAAACAACTAGGCTCAGGTACTAATGGCTCAGCTGTATGTATTTCTATGTGCCAACCATCACTAACCATATAAAGATTCAATAACTGAGAGAAATAATTCTTCCACCTATTCAAAATTTTATGGGAATCTGCAAGCAAATCACCATTCTCATCCTTTACCAAGTTACTCCTAGGTTGGTAACCCTTCTTAAATTCATTTATACCTCTATAAGTATCTAATAACAATCTCTCAGGATCAACATATTAGCATATAAAAAGGATTGTATTGGTAAGCACAGCTACTCCTGGAAATAATTTGCCTGAGATTGTAACTGATATTTAGGTATTTCACACAATTCTCATATTAGGAACTAATTATCAGTTTGAACATATCTGATCAGACCTTAATTAGACTTATTTTTGCACTGTAAATGGAGGAAACACTTGTATCTGAAAAGAGTTTCTTCTCTAGTGAATACAAAAGAATTCCCTTCTTATCTCTTTTATTAACCATAAATTTAATTACAATATGTTATAATCAGTGTTTGAATTTTATGTTACAGCAACTGTATTAAAACATCCATTTATCATTCATTTAAAAATGACTATACCAACAGCAGTATCACAAACTAATTAGCACAGACATTAAATGTAATCTTAGAACTTCCTATTTCTTAGAACAATGTACTTTATCAAAATTTATTAAAACAATTACAGTATAGTGTGATGGGCCTACTGGTAAAGTAGTCTTTATGATATTGAATAAATAGGCTTACCTATATTCTACCTAAGGTGATTCAATATTTACTCCATATTCTTCTTCCAATCTGCAAATGCAAGCTTGAGCTCCTGCAACTGCCTTTTCAACTTTTTAATTTCATTATAAGTTTCCTTCAGACAATAAACATGCTTTTTTACACGAATCACCTTAGTTTCTAAGGTAGTACATTCTTTATATATATTTTTGAACATATCCTTCTCTGCTGATATATCTTCCATGTAATTGAGTGTCTAGCTCACAGCCATTTCAACGCTTGAATGTTCATCTAACCTTGCTTTCATCTTATCATATTCAGCTCTCAATAGTACAGCATCCTAGCATGTGGAACAAAGCAATTAATGTTCTGCTTGTAGAGAATCCCTTTCAGCGACAACATTCCGAATGCCTGAAGTTGCAGTTTTCAGTTTCTTTGTCAAGTCAAAAACATGTGTTTCAAGTGATGTTGGTCTTTCATCCAGTCTTTTCTGCAACCCATTTCAAACATATATTTAAGATATTGCAAGACACAGACTCTCATTTGATCATGAGTTTTAACTGCCAGTTTTATTCTTAAACTTTCAAATCCACCAAGCTGTGTTTATATTTAACATTAGAATAAATGTTTATAATACCCTAATATTACTAATGTTCTTATAAAAGAGTGAAAACTGAATAATGTAAGCATAAGACAAAACCAGAATTACAACTGCTGAAATGAAATGCATGAGAAGCATGGAAAATATACATAGCCAACCATAAAAGGAACAGAGATGTATTAAAAAATTTAACAACATCCTTCACTGAACACAATTTTTAAATATAACACCAAAGGAAAGCACATGATGACAGAATAAAAAGAGTAAAATTTCACATACTCAGAGTATTAAAATATTATAAACCATGTGCATTAAGGAACCAATGCAACTTTTAAAGAGACCTTTGGCAAATGAGCATGGAAAGCCCAATAAGTAGCCTTACAATTTGGCTGTTACATAATGATGACATTTGATGATGGCATTTACTTCTTAACATTTAATATCAACAAAATAAGCCAGATATTCCATGAAATTTCTAAATAATGGCAGAACTGACAGTGTATGTAACACTGTCTGAAAAATTTGTAGAAATTTAGTCTAGACAAAATGCATGACCAAAATAGGAAATGACTTTATACTAAAACATGATATAAAACACCTAAATACTGCCAAAAGCTAAAATGTAATGAATGTTCCAATTAAAGTTCAGTATTTGTGACAGCAGTACTACCATAAGGATAAGTAAGAATGACACATTAAAAATAAGTAAGTCCATTCTTCTTTAATTTAAAAGATTACTGCTGCAGCAGTAGTCCACACCTTCAAATAATTAACTCTATCACAATTCATTTAAAAGTATGATGTAGTGTGCACAGCAAGGGAATGAAAATGTATCTGTCTTTGTGGTATGGAATGGGAAGGCTTACATTCTCATCATTTGTAGGTGAGGTGTGTTCTTGTAAACATATCCTCAATTTCTTTATCTCATCCTGATCTGCCACCGTATTCTGGAGCGTCTTCACTGGATTTTCAACATTTTGTTTTTTGTATTGACTTCCTTCTGAGACTTTACACACTTTATCAAAGAAATGGCCTCAGATCTTAAGGCAGTAATTTCTTTATCCCTCTCTGCTAGTATGACCTTCATGCCATTGGTTTTCTCGCACAAGGTCAAGTATGTTGCTTCTAACCTGACCTTCAGTATATCACATTCATGTCTCATGCCATTTAACTTTAGTTCTAGTTCTTCAAGGACACAGGACTGGACACTTGCTTGAGATTTCAGAGTATTAATTTCTTCCATCATATCATCTCGTTCATGTTTCCATTGCTCTTCATCTCGCTTAACAGCATCACAATCCTTTCTAATTGTATCCAACTCATCCTGTAAACTCCTGACCCTGTTTTTATGATGATCCCTGTCTGTCCTTACAGCTTCCAATTCCTTTGTAAAGTCATAAAAATGTGTTTGTCGCATTGTTGCTCCTTCAGAATGTGTTTCCTGCAAGATCTTGCAAGACTCAGACTCCCAGCTGTTTAGAAGTAAATAATTGACACAGATTAAGGAAAAGAGTCAGTGGGACTGTCAGTTTTATTCTTAATTCCTCAAATGAACAACTTATGGCTACTATTACATCTCAACCTTCAAATGCAGTCAGTTATATTTACATCTAACATTAGAATACATATTTATAATACCCTAGAATTACAACCAGTTTCATGCAGGAGTGAAGACTGAACAATATAAGCAAATGACAAAACCAGAATTACAGACGCTGAAATATGAAATCATGAGACTAATTTAAAGTTGAAAGGACCATAGATCTATTAAAGATCTAAATAAACCTATTGTGGAAAAAATTTTGAAATTTTGTGCTAGTTGGATAAACATGTTAAGAGAATGCAAGGAGCGATGTGATGTAATGTAATAATTCTTATATAAGATAAGTACTTTTGATATTCTAAAACGTTTTTACCAGCACAAAATTATCTAGTCTACGACGCACTTCATCTACAAGCGATTCACAGCTCAGCTCTTTCCGTAATAACGAAAGCGGATAATGTGATGATGTTCAAAATTCAGCTCACTACATGTAACAGTAAATTAGTAGGGATATTAAATGTATTGTCAAAACTTTGTACACCTTGGAATAACTCAGTCTAACAGAATAATTTCAAGAAGTATGAAGTAATGTGCAGAGCAATGGAATGACCAATATGACTGTCTAGGTGGTATGGAATGGGATGGCTTACCTTCTCATCATTGGAGGATGAAGTAAGTCTGGCTGAAGTGAGTCTCTGTGCATCAGTCACCAATTTCTTTATTTCATCCTTCTGGCTTGCCACTATACCTTGGAGCACTTTCACCTGCATTCTCAACATACTGTTCACCTGCATTTCCAACATATTGTTTTCTGTATCAGCTATTGTCAGAGACTTAACACTGTTTTTCAAACTAAAGACCTCAGAATTTAAGTCAATAATTTTTTCCATCCTCGCTGCTAATATCATTTCTGTGCAACTGTCTTTCACACACAAGTCTGAGTAAGACTGTTCAACATCTGAAAGTTCACTTAACCTGGTCTTCATTTTATCACATTCATGTTTCTTGTCATTTAACTTCTGTTCCAGTGCTGCAATGTCACTTGCTTGAGATTTCAGTGTATTCATTTCTTCCATCATAGCATCTCTTTCACATTTCAATTTCTGTTTTTCTTGCTTAACAGTATCACAATGCTTCCTGATGGTATCAACCTCATCCTGTAAACTTCTGATTTTTTTCTCATTAAGTTCCCTATCTCTTATTACAGTTTCCAATTCCTTTCTCAAGTCACCTATAAGTGCTTCCATTGTTGTTCTTTCAGCCAGCATTTCCTGCAACCAATTTCACAACACTTATTAAAGATCTTGGAAGATTCCCAGCTGTATAGAAATAATTAATTGACACATATTATGAAAACAGTCATTGTACTGCTGGTTTTATTCTTAATCTTGGAAATAAACAACTTATGGCTACTATTACATCTCAACCTTTGAATTCATCAAGTTGTGTTTATATTTAAGATGAAAATAGAATCTCATAATACCCCAACATTGCTAACATTCTTATAAAAGAGTGAAAAATTAATATTTTAGGCAAAAGACAAAACCATAATTACAGCTTCTGAAATTAAATGCATGAGAATAACAGCAAAATTTATTTGCTAATCATAAAGGGAACGGAGATATATTAAGATATTTACAAGAAACTTATAGTGGACAACATTTTGAAACTGGACTGCACATGAAGATGGAATGGAAAGAGTCAAATTTCACAAAATATGAGTACTGAAAAATTATAAACCATGTATATTCAAGAACCAACAAATTGTAAAGACATTTTTATTCATTTAAGCCTGGAATGGCCAAGAAATGGCCTTACACCTTGATTGCTAAATGATGATGGTATTGTTTATGTTGAAATTCACTTCCTAATACATGATATTATCAAATGATACCAGGTCTCGCTTATAATTTCACAATATTGGTAGACAGGCAGTGTGTTTAATACTGTCTGAGAATTTTGCAGAAATTTAGTACACTCGAAATGTATGATCAGAATAGGTAAATGTATATAATACAAAACATGGCACATATGTAGCAAACTTACATACTGCTAACACCTGAAATGTGATAAATGTTCTAATTCCAGCTCTGTATTTGTGATACTATTACCTCTAAACTTGTAGAGGGAGAAGTAAGAATGAAACAATGATGGAATGGCTTACGTTCTCATCATTCGCAGCTGAGGTAAATTTTTGTACACAAATCAACAATTGATTTCTCTCATCCTTCTAATCTGCCACTGTATTCTGTAACATCTTCACCTGCATTTCCAACATTTTGTTTTTCATATTGACTTCCTTCAGAGCCTTAACATAGTTTATCAAAGTAATGACCTCAGATTTTAAGCCAGTCAATACTTTATCCCTCTCTGCTGATATGACCTCCATGCTATTGCCTTTCTTGCACAAAACCAAGTAACAATGTTCAGTGTTTGAAAGTTCATCTAACCTGACCTGTATTGTATCACATTCATGTTCCATGCCATTTACCTTTTGTCCAGGTTCTTCAAGGTCACAGGACTGGACACTTGCTTGAGATTTCAGAGTATTAATTTCTTCCATCATATCATCTCGTTCACGTTTCCAATGCTCTTCATCTTGCCTAACAGCATCACAATACTTTCTAATTGTATCCAACTCATCCTGTAAACTCCTGACCCTGTTTTCATGATAATCCCTGTCTGTCCTTACAGCTTGCAGTTCCTTTGTCAAGTCACTAACATGCGTTTCTAGTGTTGTTGCTCTTTGAGCCTGTCTGTCCTGCAACCCATTTCAAGCACAAATTTAAGATCTTGCAAGACTCACACTCCCAGTTGTTGAGATATATTATTAATAGACACACATTATATGAAAAGCAGAGTCAATGGGATTGCCAGTTTGATTTTTAAACTTTTATATCATCAACTTATGGCTATTATTACATCTCAACCTTTGAATCCATCAAGTTGTGTTTATATATAATACTAGAATAAATGTTTATAATGTCCTAACGTTACTAAGATTCTTATAAGGGAGTGAAATGCAAGAGAGACACAGAAAAATATACTTAGCTTACAATAAAAGGAACAGAGATATATTTGAAGATCTAACAACAACCTATACTGAACACAGTCTTTTAATATAAAACCATCTGGATTGCACATGATGATAGAATACAAAGAGTCAAATTTCACAAATTTTGTGTATTAAAGAATTATAAAGCATGTGGGTGAATAAACCAATGGCAAGTTGTAAGGAGACACTTGGTGAAATGAACCATTAACACAGAATAAGTGGCCTTACACTTGACTGTTAGATGATGATTCTCGTGATGTTTGCATGCATGTTTTAATATTTTATGTCAACAATTTATGCCAGGTATTGCATGTAATTTCCCAATAGTGGCACGAGTGTCACTGTGTGTAACAATGTCTGACAGCTTTACAGAAATTGAGTACAGATGAAATGTTCGATCAGAATAGGAAATAACTGTATTATGAAACATGATAAAAACACCCTAATATTTCCAATAACTGAAATGTGATAAGTGATCAAATTTCAGCTCACTACATGTGACAGCAGTATTACCAGAAAAACAAATTCAAATGACACATTAGACATAGTTAATAAGTCCATACTTCATTCACTTAAAAGATGAATATCCCCACAGCAGTGACACAGATAAATTATTAGGGATATTAAATGTATTGTCAAATCTATGTTCACCTTGGAATAACCCAGTCTAACAGAATAATTTCAAGAAGTATGAAGTAATGTGCAGAGCAAGGGAATGACCAATATGACTGTCTAGGTGGTATGGAATGGGATGGCTTACCTGTTCATCATTGGAGGCTGATGTGAGTCTGTGTACATCAGTCACCAATTTCTTTATTTTATCCTCCTGGTCTGCAACTATACCTTTTAGCACCTTCACCTGCATTCTCAACTTATTGTTTTCTGTATCGGCTCCTGTCAGAGACTTAACACTGTTTTTCAAACTAATGACCTCAGATTTTAAGCCAGTAATTTCTTTATCCCTCTCTGCTGATATGACCTTCATGCTATTGGCTTTCTCGCACAAGGCCAAGTAACACTGTTCAGTTTTTGAGAGTTCATCTAACCTGACATTCATTGTAACATGTTCTTGTGTCATTTCATTCAACTTATGTTCCAGTGCTTCAAGGTGACAGGACTGGCTTCTGAGATTGGAAAGCTCCTCTTCCATGTCATCCAGTTCTGACTTTAAAACATTATTTCCTGCAATTACAATACTTGCTTGAGATCTCAGAGTATTCATTTCTTCCATCACATCATCTCGTTCACGTTTCCATTGCTCTTCATCTCGCTTAACAGCATCACAATCCTTTCTAATTGTATCCAACTCATCCAGTAAACTCCTGACCCTGTTTTTATTATGATCCCTATCTGTCATTACAGCGTCCAGTACCTTTATCAAGTCACTAACTTGCGTTTCTAGTGTTGTTGCTCTTTGAGCCTGTCTGTCCTGCAACCCATTTCAAGCACAAATTTAAGATCTTGCAAGACTCACACTCCCAGTTGTTGAGATATATTATTAATAGACACACATATGAAAAGCAGAGTCAATGGGATTGCCAGTTTGGTTTTTAAACTTTTATATAATCAACCTATGGCTATTATTGCATCTCAACCTTTGAATCCATCAAGTTGTGTTTATATATAATACTAGAATAAATGTTTATAATGTCCTAACGTTACTAAGATTCTTATAAGGGAGTGAAATGCAAGAGAGACACAGAAAAATATACTTAGCTTACAATAAAAGGAACAGAGATATATTTGAAGATCTAACAACAACCTATACTGAACACAGTCTTTTAATATAAAACCATCTGGATTGCACATGATGATAGAATACAAAGAGTCAAATTTCACAAATTTTGTGTATTAAAGAATTATAAAGCATGTGGGTGAATAAACCAATGGCAAGTTGTAAGGAGACACTTGGTGAAATGAACCATTAACACAGAATAAGTGGCCTTACACTTGACTGTTAGATGATGATTCTCGTGATGTTTGCATGCATGTTTTAATATTTTATGTCAACAATTTATGCCAGGTATTGCTTGTAATTTTCCAATAGTGGCAGGAGTGACACTGTGTGTAACAATGTCTGACAGCTTTGCAGAAATTGAGTACAGATGAAATGTATGGTCAGAATAGGAAGTAACTGTATTATGAAACATGATAAAACACCCTAATATTGCCAATAACTGTAATGTGATGATGTTCAAAATTCAGCTCACTACATGTAACAGTAAATTAGTAGGGATATTAAATGTATTGTCAAATCTATGTTCACCTTGGAATAACCCAGTCTAACAGAATAATTTCAAGAAGTATGAAGTAATGTGCAGAGCAAGGGAATGACCAATATGACTGTCTAGGTGGTATGGAATGGGATGGCTTACCTGTTCATCATTGGAGGCTGATGTGAGTCTGTGTGCATCAGTCACCAATTTCTTTATTTCATCCTTCTGGTCTGCAACTATACCTTGGAGTTCCTTCACCTGCAATCTCAACTTATTGTTTTCTTTATTGGCTCTTGTCAGAGACTTAACACTGTTTTTCAAACAAGTAATGAACTCAGATTTTAAAGCCTCAGTTTCTTCATTGCTCTCTTGTGTTATCACCTCTATGCTGCTGACATTCTTGCATAAGGAGAAGTAACACTCTTCAGTGTTTAAACATTTATCTAACATAATCTTTATTGTATCTTGTTCATCTCTTCTTAACGCTTCATCTTTCTTCTCTCTGTGACGAAGCATATCAAGTTCTGCTTGTAGTATATCACATTCAGCAGCAGAAATCTGGATGTCTGGCTGCTTGTTATTATATAAAGCCTCCAGGGGTTTTATCTTATCCATTTTCCTCCGAAAAACATTGCAATCATTTATCATGCCATATATTGCCTCTGTCTGTGCTGCATGATCACAGGACTGGCTTCTGATTTTGGAAAGCTCCTCTTTCATGTCATCCATTTCTGACTTTAAAGCATTATTTTCTGCAATTACAATACTTGCTTCAGATCTTAAAGTGTTAATTTCTTCCATCATATCATCTCGTTCATGTTTCCATTCCTCTTCATCTCGCTTAACAGTATCACAATACTTTCTAATTGTATCCAACTCATCCTGTAAACTCCTGACCCTGTTTTTATGATGATCCCTGTCTGTCCTTACAGCTTCCAATTCCTTTGTAAAGTCATAAAAATGTGTTTGTCGCATTGTTGCTCCTTCAGAATGTGTTTCCTGCAAGATCTTGCAAGACTCAGACTCCCAGCTGTTTAGAAGTAAATAATTGACACAGATTAAGGAAAAGAGTCAGTGGGACTGTCAGTTTTATTCTTAATTCCTCAAATGAACAACTTATGGCTACTATTACATCTCAACCTTCAAATGCAGTCAGTTATATTTACATCTAACATTAGAATACATATTTATAATACCCTAGAATTACAACCAGTTTCATGCAGGAGTGAAGACTGAACAATATAAGCAAATGACAAAACCAGAATTACAGACGCTGAAATATGAAATCATGAGACTAATTTAAAGTTGAAAGGACCATAGATCTATTAAAGATCTAAATAAACCTATTGTGGAAAAAATTTTGAAATTTTGTGCTAGTTGGATAAACATGTTAAGAGAATGCAAGGAGCGATGTGATGTAATGTAATAATTCTTATATAAGATAAGTACTTTTGATATTCTAAAACGTTTTTACCAGCACAAAATTATCTAGTCTACGACGCACTTCATCTACAAGCGATTCACAGCTCAGCTCTTTCCGTAATAACGAAAGCGGATTGTTGACGACAGTAATGTAACACAATGCCGAGTAAACAGATGACGCAAGCTGACCATTGTTGTCGGTCCATATTTACACATTGTTGATACGGATCTTTCACATTTTCGTTACACAAGTTCGTTACGCCTTTTTGCCGAATGACCCTTCCGTATAGACGTATTTACGTCAAAAATATTAGCATGTGGACTACTATTCCTCCTTCAACCACATGGGTGCTCATTCAATTTTGCTGTTTCGTCAAACAGTCCAAAGTTAATGAAGCCAAAAACATTTACCTATTCATAGCGGGCCGTGGACTTTACCCCCTATATCCGCACACTGCAGCAACGAATGTTGCAACAGTCTTATAATGTATCCAAAAATGTTAATTTGTTCGACGTAAAACATGTAATCGTATTGGGGGATATTATCAGAGCCGTAGTATAACTGGGTTCGTTATATCAAGGTTCAACTGTATACAATTGTCAGTAGCTCGGGTTATACAGCACCACATAACTTAAATAAACTACACAGACAGAGACACACAGATTGATGCCCTACCAAAAGTGGTTCAACAGTCAGAAAACCTTAACTTTAGCAAGCCAAGAACTTACAATACCATTGGCAATGTACAGAAACTAACTGACACTAATTCTAAAATTTATCAATTGGTGAACAAGTGATTGCGAATTGAAGTACAATTGGTGAAACTTATTATAAAAAGGTAAAGTAAAGCTGTCCCGCTATACGTTATGTAGGCGCTTCGGGGAGGGGGGGGTTAGGTAGGTAGCTACTTATTATTCAGTGTTCTGTCTTACGACAGGTCCATTGCTCTGCCCAAAAATAGCTCTCCAGTTTACCCTATTCTCAGCTTCTCGTTTTAATTCCTGGAACTTCATCTTCTTTCCTTGTTTCAGATCGTCGGTTAGCTGTATCAGTCTTCTTCCCAGTCTTCGCTTTCCTTCAACCTGGCCTTCGATGATATCACTCATAATATGTCCCAGCCAGTTAGCTTTCCTTCGTGTAATCGCCTGCAGAATGTTTCTTTGCTCGTTGACTCTCCTCAATACTTCTTCGTTGGTCACTCGATCCGTCCACCTGATCTTCTCTATTCTTCTCCAACACCACATTTCAAAACTCTCCAGGTATTTCTGTTCCTTCTTCCTGAGTGTCCAAGTCTCTGCTCCATACGTAACACTTCACTAGTTTCTTCTTCATCTCCAAGCCCAACTTGCTAGTGAGAAGTATCCTCTTCTTGACGAAAGCTGCCTTGGCCATGACTATCCTTGCTTTTACTTCCTTGGTTCATAGAGCGTCCGTCGTCCCAAGTACTTGAAATGCTCCACATTCTCCAGCTGTTGGTTTCCAATTACAACGTTCAATTGTTCTGCTCTCGGTGCTATCCTCGTTACCTTTGATTTTTCAATGTTGATATCCATTCCATACTCTCTACCTGTTTCCACTAACTTGTCCATCATGTTCTGTAATTCCTTCGCCAATACTACTAAGTCGTCTGCATAGGTAGCTACTACTCGTTGTTAACTTCGGCACTAGATACTTATCATATTTAACAAAATGATCCAAGGCACGTGCAAGGTCTCAACCTCACTAGTTCTATTGTTCTAGTTTTTATCTCACTCCTTTTACTCCGTAGACAAATTTACGAAAACTGGAAAATTTTAAATGTTGTAAATATTTATGTAAGTAAATATAATTAGTATGCGCTCATAATTGTATTTTGATATTTGTTATACTAAGTGTTCATATTCATACTATGACACGTTCCAGATCCTTGGTTTTTACTATAAAGAATCTATAACATGTAAATAAACCCTAATTCTAATTCTAACAATAATTTTCTCATTTGAAACTCACCATTTTCGTTGACAGCGAAACCTCTGCAACTTTTAAAACTAAATTACTACGTTTATAGCGTCCAAGCCCCAAGAATTGTGATCTGCTGCAAATTCCACGTCTTCCCTGTCACGTAATCCAAACTTCTCAACAATTAAACAAGTCAACAATAACAAGAAACAATCGCTTAGCTTAACAATGAACATTGTTGCTAAGGCTTGTTTATTTTCTTCCTTTTGGATTTTATTCATGTCAGGTTTCTCAAATCTTAAAATTCATTGCATTTCAAGGGATGGATCTTACTTCATCTTCTAATAAAAAGGACGAATCATCTATCCTGTTCCATTCGGCAGACAATTCGCAGAGATCAGTGGTATTGAACAACAATTACATTCAAGATGGAATTAGGGGCAGATTAAATTTGAACAATGTTTGCAACAATGCATATGTACAATTTTTACGAAAGATATATTCAAAGCTGTTACGTTTGTAAACCTGAAATAATGTTTTATGGGTAATTCCAAGATGGATGCATGTTTGTTATGTATGCATTGTATTGACTGTAACTGAAATAAAATCAGGAAAATAAAACTGAGCATAACAGCTGGAAGTGCTACGACACGAAACTTAAACTGAAGTATATACAAAAAAGTCCAGAAAATGCGAAAAATATACCTCAACAGGTACGTAGAATAAGAAGCTACATTTTAAAAGTTCATGTTTTAACTTGGGTCATCTGTGTACTGTTTGAGTTTATACATACACCTAATAATTGAGTTACTGAAAAGCAATACATAAATGTTGTGGGATCTGGGAAGTTACGCATTCGTTTATTATCGGGTTTAGTGATGGGCGTATAGTCCATTTTATTCAGGTTAAGGTTATTCATTTTCAGCCTTCCGATAAAATCAACACTAGAATACTATATAGCCTTACCAACATTTTTAGACAGGAGGGAAATTGAATCAATTGAGCAAAGACAGAATGAGAATTATAGCTGCTTAAATGAAATGCATGAGAGAAACATCAGAATACACTTTGATGAAGAATAAAAGCGATTAAATTGGACATGTTGCAGAATGCAAACAACCACATTTCCTACATTGCAAGTATTAAAAATGAAATTCATATGGATTAGGGAGCAGAAGAGAACCTTTAAAAAGTCTTTTGGACAGATTTGGTTGGAATGCAATAACAAGTGGCTTTTCTCTTTGACTGCTAGATGATATTTGATTATGCTAACATTCATTTCTTAAGATTTGATATCAGCAATGTGCTACCTTTTACTTCTTAATCTGTCAATACTGGTTGGCATGACAGCATATGTAACACTGTCTGATAATATAGAAGTCTGGTATATATGAAGTGTAAGATGAGAATAGGAAAATGACCTTAGATAAAACAGGATAGGTTTGTACCAAAACATCTAAATACTGCCAAACCTGTGAAATGTTATAATTTCATTATTCCAAAGTTCAGAGCAGTGTAATTTATGTGCAATGCTACAGAGTACCTTTTCCTTCTGTAAGATTTAAATTTTTTATCACAATGTTCCACTCTATCCAGCAACTCTTTGACTTTCATGGCTTCTATCAGATATGTCTTTGTTACCATGTTCTGGTTGTGCAGCCTGGAGAGTTACAAAAGTAAATGGCCAATTTTTTAATGTTAAATGTTAAAAGCATATTCACTTCCTTGTCAAAATAACTTCTGAAGGGCAAATGGACATTCCTGTAATTGGGAATTGAAGGCTCCCAGAGTGTACAGTGGGCTAGAATTGAGTCAAAATGGGACAGAATTATTTTTCATGACTTATGGATTCCATTGTAACTAAAATCAATATTAATATATAAATTCACATATTTTTTCTAACTACAAGCTGTTTTCACATAAATATACAGGAAAAATCTATATCTTAAGCTACATCATTTTGAAATTTCAAAAGTTATTCTTTGTTCCAAAAGGCAGTTGGCATTGTTGGTAAGATTTCCTTAGACTTGATACAAGAGGGTCCAAAGATGTTGATTGTTCAATAACTTTGTTATGGTGTTGTGATGAGATGTCTTATGTCATATTCTCATAATATTTTCATATCTTTAGTCTGAGTCTCCTTACATGTCTGTTCAATCAGAAGCATGGATGATTTAATTTGAGTTCTTTGGATAAGAATTTTATGGATGCTGGCCAATAAATACAACCAGTGGTATTTCTCAACAGTTTTGTGATTTCAAGTGGATAGACATTAAAAGCCTCACTGTCCATTTCTTGTCAACATGGAATTACTTGTAGGACAACTGGAAAAAAAAATTAATTAGTTCTTGATCAATCCGTTATGGAAGGTCCATTTGTAGGTGAAATAAAAAAAAAAAATTAGTTCTTGATCAATCCATTATGGAAGGTCCATTTGTAGGTGAAATTCTAAACTTTTTATGTCATTAGAAATTTAGTAGCATAGGTGCCTCATAACATCTTGTGCACCTCCGCTCTGGCTGTTGAATGTTCCAAGCAAGAGTAACGTTTTCTAATCATGGCATCTTGGATGTGGGTGCCCTTGTGACTCTATATAGATAATCTGGACTGGAGATATCTCATATGTGATTCATGTAACCCACTTGTCTAAAAGCGGCCCATCCACGTATGAGTCTGACTTGCGAGTCTGGCTCGGCGAGCTTGACTCGTGAGCCGGGCTCGGATATATTTCACCACACATGCATAGCAGACTCGGCTTGTGATACCCCACCCACAAACGAGGTTGGCTGAATTGGAGCCAAGCCGGACTCGCAAGCCAGACTCGTACATGGATGGGCCGCTTAAGAAATGCTCAATTCTCCATAACTCTGCCTTACTTTGAGCAGCTTCCTTTGATCTGCAGATTTTGACAGTCTCATTTATTGCGGTATCTTCCCCAGTTAAGAGTGTCTTAACATCTCTAGAGAATGGACCAACCATAAATTGGTCTTGGAGGACTTGATCAATGAAGGTGCAAAAATTTCAGCTTCTGGGACTCGCATATGAACTGACTCCTCCTCCCTTTGACACTATTGGTAAAAGTTATAGCTTTAGACTATAACCAGATATTTTGGAGTTTAGTATTTACAGAGAATAAACAGTTATCACTATGGGGAATGGACTCTTTTAACTGTGGAGCAACCAACCCTTTGGTTATTTTATAGATGTCCAGTGGACAATGTAGGGGTAGGAGCAACGCTTTTGCTGACATAGGCACATCCAATAGCTGTAAGTACCATGTAAATTAGTCCAGAAGTTCTGAAATGTCTTCCTCTTTCCCCACGAACTTAGTTGGTTGGTCAAGGATTACAACTGGGAAAGCTGATTCCTGTTCTGTTTGTTGAGATGCCATTGGGAGGCCCACTTTGACATCGACAGTCTGTATCATCAAGATGTGTTAAAGTTACTGACCTTGTAATCACTAATATATTTGCTCTCTGTGAGTCAGTTGTTTACTCCCCAAGACCCTCAGTCCTGAAGCCAGTGTCTGCCTTGAGATGATCATGGATTAATACCAGAGCTGATCAACTGCAGCCTGACATCTGAGCTGTGTGCAGTGCTACATATGATATGCAGTACATGTGCTTACATATCATGTTTATTCTAATATTCATTATTCTCTGATTCTTCTACTTTTATCTGTAAAACATCTTGCTTTTATATTAGTTTAGCTGCTAGCAAGTAAAGGTCTGAAGTCACCTCATATCCTTGATAATCTTCACATCACACAACCATTTTTCTGTTTTCTCATGTGCTAGAGAACAGTCACTACCTCTGGCTGTCAAATTGGATGATAGCTTTATATATAAACAAGTAGCTTCTACTTGCCACTGTGGTCTAGCGGTTAGAACCCTGGCCTTGTAATCCTGGGATCTCGGGTTCGATTCCCGGCGGTGCCCGAATTTATAACTTGTGTTGGGCAAGGCCGTGGTCTAGGCAACATAGAGTTTTCCTCCGGGGGCTTCCCCGGTTTCTCTTGGATGTGGGTGCCCTTGTGACTCTATATAGATAATCTGGACTGGAGATATCTCATATGTGATTCATGTAACCCACTTGTCTAAAAGCGGCCCATCCACGTACGAGTCTGACTTGCAAGTCTGGCTCGGCGAGCTTGACTCGTGAGCCGGGCTCGGATATATTTCACCACACATGCATAGCAGACTCGGCTTGTGATACCCCACCCACAAACGAGGTTGGCTGAATTGGAGCCAAGCCGGACTCGCAAGCCAGACTCGTACATGGATGGGCCGCTTAAGAAATGCTCAATTCTCCATAACTCTGCCTTACTTTGAGCAGCTTCCTTTGATCTGCAGATTTTGACAGTCTCATTTATTGCGGTATCTTCCCCAGTTAAGAGTGTCTTAACATCTCTAGAGAATGGACCAACCATAAATTGGTCTTGGAGGACTTGATCAATGAAGGTGCAAAAATTTCAGCTTCTGGGACTCGCATATGAACTGACTCCTCCTCCCTTTGACACTATTGGTAAAAGTTATAGCTTTAGACTATAACCAGATATTTTGGAGTTTAGTATTTACAGAGAATAAACAGTTATCACTATGGGGAATGGACTCTTTTAACTGTGGAGCAACCAACCCTTTGGTTATTTTATAGATGTCCAGTGGACAATGAAGGGGTAGGAGCAACGCTTTTGCTGACATAGGCACATCCAATAGCTGTAAGTACCATGTAAATTAGTCCAGAAGTTCTGAAATGTCTTCCTCTTTCCCCACGAACTTAGTTGGTTGGTCAAGGATTACAACTGGGAAAGCTGATTCCTGTTCTGTTTGTTGAGATGCCATTGGGAGGCCCACTTTGACATCGACAGTCTGTATCATCAAGATGTGTTAAAGTTACTGACCTTGTAATCACTAATATATTTGCTCTCTGTGAGTCAGTTGTTTACACCCCAAGACCCTCAGTCCTGAAGCCAGTGTCTGCCTTGAGATGATCATGGATTAATACCAGAGCTGATCAACTGCAGCCTGACATCTGAGCTGTGTGCAGTGCTACGTATGATATGCAGTACATGTGTTTACATATAATGTTTATTCTAATATTCATTATTCTCTGATTCTTCTACTTTTATCTGTAAAACATCTTGCTTTTATATTAGTTTAGCTGCTAGCAAGTAAAGGTCTGAAGTCACCTCATATCCTTGATAATCTTCACATCACACAACCATTTTTCTGTTTTCTCATGTGCTAGAGAACAGTCACTACCTCTGGCTGTCAAATTGGATGATAGCTTTATATATAAACAAGTAGCTTCTACTTGCCACTGTGGTCTAGCGGTTAGAACCCTGGCCTTGTAATCCTGGGATCTCGGGTTCGATTCCCGGCGGTGCCCGAATTTATAACTTGTGTTGGGCAAGGCCGTGGTCTAGGCAACATAGAGTTTTCCTCCGGGGGCTTCCCCGGTTTCTCTGTGGCATCCCAACAATTACTCCATTCAGACACAGAAGAAGGCAATGGAAAACCACTTCTGGATCATCTGCCAAGAACGTATATGAACAGGTCCCAGTCTGAGAAAAGGATGGAAGGATCCTGTTCATATGGACCTGCCGTCAGACAGAACACACACACACACACAAAAAAAAAGGAGAGAGAGAGAAGAAGGAAAAAAGAAAGAAAGAGAGAGTAACTTCTAAGCCTGTAAAAAACCATTCTGTTCTGCATATGCTGCTGTACAGTCTGTACTGGAATGTTTTGAACCATGCATTGAAATAAATAACATTTATTCAAAAAAGTACATAAAAATCAATTATATTCTTTCCATTAGGATAAATCAAATGTTCACACGATAGGTCGACATTTTACTATGATAAGAATTGTTAGAAAATATGCCAACTCCATACATGATTTTGCAGTGACAGCACAATTCTTGGTATCTGAAAATGGACAATACAATAAAAATCCATAAGACATGACTGTGAAATGAACTATTTACAAAATGGAAAATAATTTAACCAAAGTAAACATTTTTGTAGCATATTTGTGAAATTATTTACCCTTTTATCTTCAATATCCTATAATAATGGAAAATTTCAAGGCACAAAAAAACAAGAATGTACGGTGGAATTGAGGAAATGAAAATAACAAGTTAAAATAGTCAGATATCCTTACTTTTATAATTTGGATCTCTTGATCCACAGGGTCTATAAGAAAGATGAGTCTTTCGCCTGCTGCTTGGCACATAGCCTGGGTTGTACACACTAGGGGATGCAAGGTGGCCATTAGCCAGCAACCGACTGAAGTCCTGCTCCAGTTGATTGGCTAGTGGTCCTGTATACCATAATTACAAATGTACTAATATTTAATGGACAAAAATAATTAAAAGTGATAATTATTGACAATGTTTCAGTTGATGGCTGTCTTCTGGGTTGTAGTTCTGTGTAGTCTGGTAGCTTACCAATGTTTCCTAGGTCCTTATTGCCTTTATCATCAGAGTGCAACATCCCAGAAGACAATCATTTACAAATTTAGACCAAATTTTCATGCCCATTATAAAAAGGTTAAGTTACACTATACTCACACACTGCCATAAATTGTAGAGGGACTAGTGGAGGTAATATCCATAATTTAACCCAGGAACTATCTGAAAGCCCTGATTATGGAGGCAGTAAGGACCTCTGAAATGCCAGTAAACTTATACCAGACTAAACAGTGCTAGAAACCAGAAGATAGCCATCAAAGAACAAGAAAGAATAAAATCCAAAACCAGGACATTAGAGAACACTTGACTGTACAAAGGATACAATGGAATGGACATATGGGTAAGTGAAGATGCTGATGAAGGACCACCGGGGAGAAAAGGTGCCATATTTTAGGTTGATACACAAATCTTTTAAGATTGTAAATCAAATAAATTTGCAAAATTGCAGGGTGCAAGGGTGGCAACTTCCTAATGATGTTGACTGACTGAGGCAGTTCAATATGTATCAAGCCTAATGATGTCAATAGCTGACTGAGGCAGTTCAATATGTATCAAATATTTATCATTAATTTCTTGCATCAGTTTTTGGGTTGAGTCTAATATCATAAATCAGCATTAACTCATACAACAGATATTTAGGAAGTGCCCAACTATGCATTATCTGGGCAACAGCTATGCTAACTGAAAAGATAAATTACTTGTTCAATCTCTTTGAATGAATACAGTGCTTTCAGTCAGATCATGACCACGATGTCATTTCAAACTTAACATTCATATCTTGCCATTTCTAGTTTAATGCTGTTTAACCTCTGTAGATGATGTCATTATACCAAATCAGAAACAAACAATAATTCAATATGAACATAATTGAAGAACAAATTTCGTACTCCACCACTTTATGCAAGGTACCTTTGAAATGTAGTAGAAACTGGATACAAGTACCACTATGCAAGGTTCTTGTCTTACGACTGTCAACTGTTAACATCCATTCAGGGAGGCCCATAACCTCTCTGACATCTTCAATGAACTGGGCCCTGGAACGAAAAGCTGAAGTTATAACTTGCATGATACATGTGATTTTAGGTACATATGCACTACTACAGGCTATTTATTGTGTTCCTGGAAACCCTGTCAAAGAGCATACCCAAAGACACGGTATCATAAATGGTAGTTACATCACTGATGACATGATAGAAACTCAGTTAAACAAAAGATACTTAACAGGATTTAAAATATAAAAACATAAATTTGGGGGAAAAAAGCTTTGTATCATAATCAGTGGTCAAAGCCATCCTGATCCATGATTTTAAAATTGAAAAGAATTGCCCACTATGAATCTATTCCTCCAAAACAATCAACAAAGTGTTCTACCTTAATTTTGGACTGTTTATCAGAGAACTTGTCAACTGGAGAAGTATACAATGCCTCTTCCCACACTGAACTCCCTGTAATTCATATAATCAATGAAAATGAGAACCCATGTTCGAACATCTAACACATATGCCTAATTTGGATGTGAGGAGTATTTTCATGTTCTTACATTAATATTGTCCATGGAATGGACTACTTTCTTAATCATTTTAAGACATTCAGAGCAATGTGGTAACAGTACTGAAAGACTTTTGGTAAATTACTTTCAATAGTGCTTACAGGAATGGCATAGGTGTTACAACGAGCATATAAAGTCAAAAGGCAAGCACTTTTAGGTATGCACACTACTAAAGGTTAGTAACAATATACATTTTTTTTTTTACAAAATGAGTCCAGTTTATTCATTTGTCAGAACTCATATGTTCCTCATCATACAAATTTCAGTACTGATTCTTTAAAATTCAAAGGGAAAAATCAGTAAGGTAAGTGTAAATAAGTTAGAATTTGTGAATTTAAAAAAGAACTCACACAACAAATCTTGGTGGTTTGCGTATGTTTGCATATTTTATGATGTCTTTGTCAGGCTCAATGTTTGCACATGCAAACCTCTCTCCTCCCCGATCCTTGCTGAAAATCACAATTGATCTCCCCACTGCTGAAACATCTCCCTCTATAAAATAGTAAGAACAGGTTATACAGAATGGGCTATAATGTACATATATCACTAGCTGGATAATCAGTGACATGAAAATGTTATTTCTCATGAAGTAATTGTTACTACAAAACAAAAATTTAAAGTACAGAAGGAATATATATCAAGAAACCAACTGTCATTGTGCTATGCCAATACAGTGACATCCCAAAAACTGGATGGCTGGGATTCAATTCCTGACAGTGACATCAGGATTTTCCTCCTTGAAGCCACATCTGGAACAGCTCTGGGGCTCTTTCCTTAGGAATAAAGTGGATGAAGCTGATCACTCATCTCCATCCACTGTCAGTGTTAAGAATTCATGGAACGCTACCTTCACCTTCTCATAGTACAAATGTCACAAAATTGCTCTTTTGAAACTGATGTGGTGTCATCTTTGCTCCATTCTGTTATTCTATAATTAACAATTAAAACAGTAGTTTCAGAATATTCAGTCAAGCTAAGTACTAGAATATTTCAGGCACAGCAACACCTTCAAATACCCAAGTAAAAATGTAACATCAATCATATTAAAGTACATTAATTTCATTGTAATCCCAGAACAGAAATAAGAATGAATATATTAGTAATATTAAACTTGCAGGTTAATGGTGTACAAATCTTAACAAGGGGCCTAAACCCCTACAGGGATCACCATGACTGATATAAATGCAACAGTTTACATTTAAGCATTGTATTGCTCCTGATGATGGCAGTATAACCAACAAGTGTAGGGCATGATAATGTAATTAATATGGTGTGTACTGTGTTAAATTAAAACACAGGGCTAATAAAAGGCATGATATTGTAATTAATATGGTGTGTACTGTATCTAATATGTTAAATTAAAACACAGGGCTAATAAATACTTAATCAATTAAGGATGTTAATTGGTTGACAGTCCTAATTACATGTTCTGCTTTACAATAATTAACAGCACCTAATTAGATTAATCTTATATAAATTAATGACCTAAAGGGAAGTTGCTGTCTGTGAAAACCTGTCTCCTGTCTCCAAGATTGATTGTTCCAAGACGCCCAGATATGTCTCCAACATAGCAACGAAGAGGGTTGTCTGGACCACATTCTTCACGATACAGTTCATCCTAAAACAAATATAATAATGTATTTCCTTTCAATGTATAATGCTACATTCCTTGCTGTAATCCAAATGGGACATACAGCAATGTTACTGATGATAATCAGCATGTTTGACAGGATTTAAACTCTAAGAGATGTTCTAATTTACCACAGAAATGTTATTAAATTTGTAAGTCTAGCAGACACAGACTATCAGTTGTAATCACATGATACATTTACCTGAAACTTAAAGATAATTAGGTGGATCTTATAATGTGTATTGTTACTTGAGGAAAATAATTCTAACTTCTTATTGATATTCACTTCTTTGCGCCTCTTCAAACAAATACCCAATGATTTAGGACAAGTCCTACTTTTTATATACATAAATAAATAACATGAAGAAAACATACTAATAGACTGCATGTGTGTCTACATCTATCCACATGTCCACACAACCACACATACAAAAAACTCACTTGTTCATTCTTCCACTAATCATTTGGTTTTAAACCTCTGTAAGATGTAATGCTTCTACACAGATGTTCAATCCAAAGTATATCACTTACATTCAGGGGATCTGCCAACTGGGTGTAATATGGATTCCAGCGATAGCCAGCAGCCACACATCGAGTGTCCTGTACTTTCACAGTAGCATCAACTCCCACAGGATTAACATAAATTGCCCAATTGTGGTCCCGAGTCTGAAATGAAACATACAAAATGCCCTGAATGGTAAAACAATAAGAAAATACATTCATATAGCAATTTGTCATAGAAGATGGAGAAATATCCAACATATCATTTTATGCTTGTGGAAGTGATATGATATAATGAATTTTCAGTAGCCTAAGTACCCACTAAAATGCAAGTGACAATAAAAAAGTTACATAAAGTGCTTCTCTCTTTTGTGCAATTTTTATGTGAAATGGCTGTAAACTACCATTCTGCCATTCTTTGCATGAATCTTTTACAACATGTGAAGATATTTAGATAACTATGCCATAACAGAGTACATATGAATTTGCTAATTTTCATTAACTCACTTCCCTCTAGCAACACTATATGTTCTGTAACTGTGAAGAAACTAGAGGCTCCTCCCCTGGTTCATTTGCTCACTTCCCTTCCATACCTACCCACCATTGACCCCCCTTTACTTGCCCCTTAATTTTCCTCTCCTTACTTTAGGAATTCACAGATCAAAGAACAAGGGAAAATGATCACAAAATAAATTTAAAGACCAGATACTACAATTATTTGTATTCTATGAATTATAATAAATTAAGAAGCTCATAGTAAACAATATTCCTAATTACATTGTCATATTTTTTATCTTTGGCCCCAGTTATATGGATTTTAATACGTTGGAAATACTTTGACAAAATACTTAATCAATTAAGGATGTTAATTGGTTGACAGTCCTAATTACATGTTCTGCTTTACAATAATTAACAGCACCTAATTAGATTAATCTTATATAAATTAATGACCTAAAGGGAAGTTGCTGTCTGTGAAAACCTGTCTCCTGTCTCCAAGATTGATTGTTCCAAGACGCCCAGATATGTCTCCAACATAGCAACGAAGAGGGTTGTCTGGACCACATTCTTCACGATACAGTTCATCCTAAAACAAATATAATAATGTATTTCCTTTCAATGTATAATGCTACATTCCTTGCTGTAATCCAAATGGGACATACAGCAATGTTACTGATGATAATCAGCATGTTTGACAGGATTTAAACTCTAAGAGATGTTCTAATTTACCACAGAAATGTTATTAAATTTGTAAGTCTAGCAGACACAGACTATCAGTTGTAATCACATGATACATTTACCTGAAACTTAAAGATAATTAGGTGGATCTTATAATGTGTATTGTTACTTGAGGAAAATAATTCTAACTTCTTCTTGATATTCACTTCTTTGCGCCTCTTCAAACCAATACCCAATGATTTAGGACAAGTCCTACTTTTTATATACATAAATAAATAACATGAAGAAAACATACTAATAGACTGCATGTGTGTCTACATCTATCCACATGTCCACACAACCACACATACAAAAAACTCACTTGTTCATTCTTCCACTAATCATTTGGTTTTAAACCTCTGTAAGATGTAATGCTTCTACACAGATGTTCAATCCAAAGTATATCACTTACATTCAGGGGATCTGCCAACTGGGTGTAATATGGATTCCAGCGATAGCCAGCAGCCACACATCGAGTGTCCTGTACTTTCACAGTAGCATCAACTCCCACAGGATTAACATAAATTGCCCAATTGTGGTCCCGAGTCTGAAATGAAACATACAAAATGCCCTGAATGGTAAAACAATAAGAAAATACATTCATATAGCAATTTGTCATAGAAGATGGAGAAATATCCAACATATCATTTTATGCTTGTGGAAGTGATATGATATAATGAATTTTCAGTAGCCTAAGTACCCACTAAAATGCAAGTGACAATAAAAAAGTTACATAAAGTGCTTCTCTCTTTTGTGCAATTTTTATGTGAAATGGCTGTAAACTACCATTCTGCCATTCTTTGCATGAATCTTTTACAACATGTGAAGATATTTAGATAACTATGCCATAACAGAGTACATATGAATTTGCTAATTTTCATTAACTCACTTCCCTCTAGCAACACTATATGTTCTGTAACTGTGAAGAAACTAGAGGCTCCTCCCCTGGTTCATTTGCTCACTTCCCTTCCATACCTACCCACCATTGACCCCCCTTTACTTGCCCCTTAATTTTCCTCTCCTTACTTTAGGAATTCACAGATCAAAGAACAAGGGAAAATGATCACAAAATAAATTTAAAGACCAGATACTACAATTATTTGTATTCTATGAATTATAATAAATTAAGAAGCTCATAGTAAACAATATTCCTAATTACATTGTCATATTTTTTATCTTTGGCCCCAGTTATATGGATTTTAATACGTTGGAAATACTTTGACAAAGTTATGTATCTATTGGTCATGACCAACAAGGGGCTTTAATTTGTACTATTGTTGGCAGAGTCACCTCCCATCAGAAATGGGCACTATGTGAAACCAGTGTGCAGCAGTCTGTTGGTGCAGTGTGTTAACATAACCTCACAAGTGCCATTACTTTTTTATTATACGGAGAAATAACTACCCATGGTACAACCACTGTTTATAATCAAACACTATATACCTACCAAATTCCGATCATGTTTACCAGGATGACGCAGATTAACTTCTATCACTGTTTCACTCTTACTGCCATCATTGTAAACCAGCTGTGTCTGAAAATAATGAAGTAGAGAGAGGCTGCGTAATACTGTTAAGTAAGAAAATGTTATTTCACTTTATCACTGGTACAACCCAGTATGCAGTGAGACTGCAATTCTTAGAGAAGAATTGGATGCGGTAGCATTAAACTAGTCACCCTTTCTATGATATGAATTAGCAATATGAATGATGCCAAATTGTCCTTATAAAACTCTAGATTAATGACGGTGTAAGTACATTGATTATGAAATATGAGTTTTATAGTCAAAGATTACAGTTCTGATAAAAATAGAATTTTGAAGTTCTATTCTTAGGGTTCCAGGTAATACATAAAATAAATCGATCACTTGATGAAATGATATCCACAAATATAATACATTCATACAATAACAGAAACAGAATGGACAGATAAATGGAAAGATGCCAAAAACACCAATAATCACTCCTGCTTCATATTCAAGATGTTCCACATTTGGGCCAAGACTGAATAGCCTGACACTTTGCATGGCCTTCCTCAGGTCCAGCAGGTAAATGTTGGGACAGTACCATAACTGCATCCTTTCAACAAATCTTCAATGCATTCATTATTCACTACGATCCACCAATTCAACTCTAGTCAACCTATCAGTACTCAGCTGCGAAAACATCACCCCTTTTCCCCTGTAACCTTGGAATAAGTTGACCAATTTTCACAAAATGTGGTATGAATGTTATAGCACTGGAGGAGACCCAACCTCATATTTTTTAATTTTCTTCAATCAGCAATAACAATGTGGTCGATACATGAACTTATGAAGAAGAAGCAACACTAGTGCTTCTTAATATAGGGTTCTGAAATTATATAGTAATAATTTTTTTGAAAAATATGCAGCTTTTGTTAGGACAACAAAAGAACTGACCTGCCTGGGCATGCACTACACAGCCAAACCCTGCAGTAAACATCCACCTGGTAGTCCATTGGTTCTGGGATTTGAATCCCCTATACATGTATGATAAAGGTTTAAAAATACACAAGATTTATAGAACCAGAAATCTGTGCACCAGGAAAGAAGGCTTTTTGATGTCCCCTGAAACTCCTGTTCCTTATTCAAGAGATATGTAGCATGGCATTTTGGTGTTTGTGCTGTAGTGATTCCTTAATCATATACAAGAGATTTACATGCTTTTGCACAGAAGGCTGTGTTAATGACATGTAGGTAGTATTAAATAAACGCAAGTCTATGGTTACTACATTCCAACAAAATTATACAAACTTACGCAAGAATTAAATGAATGAAGTGTTAGTGCTTGCTGACTGTTGGTTATAAACACAATAAAAAACATGTCTGTCAGTCCCTTGAATTTAGAAATTTCAAAATACAGATAGGATTCAGACTTTACACAAATATTTAATTTGTAACATAGCTACTATAAATAAGCATGTATTAACAGTGAAATAACAGTATAACTGGAGATACATTTCTCCACAAATGGCATAGGCATGGGACAGAAATTAAAATCGCATTTCCACGATTATCTGTTCCTAATCATAACCTCTGGCACCAGTACATACCATTCTTATGAAACCATAGGCATAGCCAAGTGGATGATGGAATGAAGCTATGGCACGCAGCTCCCGAGCTTCTCCTGGAGCATAACCTCGTTCAACAGATGAACACACCCAGCGCATATTCTTCTCTCTCTTGTGTATGATAACAGAGCGACCCAAGATGGCATGCGTTCCAAACAGGGGAAGTTTGGTATCATTATATACTGCATCCAAGTTGACAAACCCATTCAGCAAACCAAACTTTCCACTTAGATCTCCCATTTCATACTGATCTGTTGTTCCAATACCAGGGAGAGGGGATAAGGAATAATTTACATTCAGAGGGTTCCAGTGACCATACAAGGATGAGCCCTCACAAGGGAACTCCAGATGACCTTCAACAGGTGTCTGAAATAAACAAGAAATTATAAATATTAAAATAATGAATATGATAACATGGAAATGTGACCTAAAGATATGTCATACTCTACTACCATTGCTTTCTAATTTCACTTAAGAATAAGCTACCAGGTAAATCGAAGAGAATAAAGAAAGGCGAAGGGAACACAACAGCTACTTGTGAATGTTGATATACTACATCATTGGGTCATACCTCACCATACAGAAAAATGCTTTACACTTTAGAAAGTAGTAAAAATGTTTATTTAGAAATACTCAAAGAAGAAAGAAAGCCTGTGTCAACATGTAGATTAAACATTGCTAATAACAAGGACTGTGTTTTCATCTGTGAAAATGTAAACTGCATAAAACCACTCCACAAAATATTCAAATTGTAGGCTTTTGTGATCATACTGACAAACATTCAAGATTTATTAAAACAAGTAATTATATTTTGGATACATTATTATGAACTTTTCAGGGAGGAGATTCTGTACCATGCAGTTATTAACACAAACTGTATCACCATCTGCTTGCCATGTGTATGTGGTATCCACTGTTGTCATTCAGCCCTTCCAGATCAATCTCAATGTCAGTGACATCATATTCAGTTTGCTGAAAAAACTCAATCTTCCCTCTCACAGTAGTCATTTCTCCATTACCATACCAGTCTTTAACCACTGCTTTTCTTCTATAGATTCCATATATTCTGTACAAAGAAGAAAACTATTTCATTTCATTATACACTGGGTACAAATTTACATCTACTGATATCAAAATCAACTTAAGTCCACCTGCTTGTTGAGTCTTTCATCTAGGCAAATCCTCACATCAGAATTTGATACAGTTTTGTGTGGAATTAGCAGAAAATTAGAGTTTCATGTACATCGATAAATTAAGAAAAGTTTTTACTTTTAAGTCTAAATCTTGTTTACAGTGAACTTATAAAAGCAAATGAGATATACAATCACATATATCAAGTTTCAAAGTTGTAAGGGACACAAACACGCACACACACCTATAAACATGGCCTATTTTATCTTGATTTTACTTTTGACTATAAAAATATGAGTGCTTAATTAACGTAACAGTATGTTATGGTGGGTGGGAATCATTACAATGAATGCACATACAGGATCTAAACATTTTATGTTGACATAATTGCTACATTTCAAGTACTTCCAATCAAGCAATGAATGACTGAATGAATGAGGAAGGGGAAAGAAAGTAGTTCCACATTTCCAGAAATCAGACAAAAATGTTGTGAGGAGAAATTCTGCCTGACTGAGAGGTGTGACCCTGTGGAAACTTACGTGGAACATGCCAACCTCTCGCCTCTAGCTTTGGGCCCATTGTCATCATACAACACAAGTGTCCGCCCCATAATACTGGCAACACCACTGAGAGGAAGGTGTGGGTCAGTGAACAGGCGTCGAGTCATCTTCTCCCCATTGACCTTCCTTCCTGCGATTGTAAGCATGCCATGACGGGATGAGAGATCTCCTAGCTGGCAGAACCCCGGGTAGGATGAACTGCATGGAGAGTCTGACTCTTTAGGATCATATGTAACCTGGACAAAAGAATTATAATATTATCAAGTCATTTCAATTTTTTAAGTCCATTTTTTCTAATGTATGGCATATATGTTAGAATTATCATGCAGTCTGACAAGGAAAGTGATCTTGGAGATCCATTTACAGTAGAGCCCCAATTATCAAAAATTCTGTTATAAGACAATCCATTTTGTCAAAGTAGAGCCCCAATTATCAAATATTCTGTTATAAGACAATCCATTTTGTCTGACATGCTGTCAGAAAGCCCCATTTTATCAAGTTAACTCAGCATGTAGTGGAATGAATCACACTTCCCTACTGTGCATCTTTTATTATGTCAAATACTATTTTTGTTTGTAAGATTTTTTCATTTGATGCTGCAATGTATTTTCTTGATAATAAGATCGTAAACCGAGTTGATATTTACCCTCGTCTTTTTCAATGTCAAATACTATTTTTGTTTGTAAGATTTTTTCATTTGATGCTGCAATGTATTTTCTTGATAATAAGATCATAAACTGAGTTGATATTTACCCTCATCTTTTTCATTAGTCTTCCATGTTATCTCACATTTTTGATTATCCAACTCTCCTTCAGTGCTATTTAGGTCAAATAATCAGGACTCTACAGTATTTTAATAATGATCACAATAACTAGGAAGTCTTAAAATTTTGTGGTGATTTGTTAGAAGTTGCATTATCATTTCTGAGTGTGGTAACACTGTATTATGGTGAGATGGTTAGATATTTTGAACAAATCAGCAATTTCCATCTTCATGTAAAGTTATGGATAATGAATATATGATCTAGTCTGCATATTTATAATCCTGGGAAAATATTATGTTGTAATAGGAAAATGTAGAATAGTAACCAATGTTTAGAAACAGGAGTTCCCAAATTAGTTGAACATAATTTAAAATGTACCAATCACAACACAAGATTTCTTCATACAAAGGACTTTTAACAAAGTTTCAAAAATTTCCAGTCTCACCAATCAGAACACAAGATTTCATCATACAAAGGACTATTAACAAAGTTTCAAAAATTTCCAGTCTGAAACTATTTTGCCAAGAATTTATTACCTTATAAGGATTATATATTGGTCCAGCACTAAGACATCGTCCTGTCCAATTGTAGTAATCTTTCCCTCGTGGCTCAACATGCACTGCCCATCGGTGGTTGGCAGTATTGTTAACAGATGTTCCATCACCATGAACCAAAGTTTCAACTATTATTGTTGTGTCAGTCCAGGGCTGATCTCGTGGTTGACGGAAAATCACGCGCCCTACTGTTGGATATCGAAATACCACTCCTGCAGTGAATATAGGAGTCTTCCAACCACGGTCAACAGCAGTATATCGAGTCAGTTTGCCACAGATCCATGGAGCATCAGCAGAATTAGCAGATGAAGCACTGAGAGAATTATTCCTCCTGAAAGATAGACTATAGTACAGCAAACCAGATTTTCAAAACGGAAAGCAATATACATTTAAAGATAATCAGTTATGTCAAACCAAATGTTTAAACCATCATTAGATTTAAGACATACAAGAATCCAAATTTGTACAATACTTCTTAGATCAACATATGGCAACAAAGTATGGACCACAAAGAAGACTGATGGGTCAGCTATTAACTGCTCTAGGAATTCTTTGTATTACAGAATTAGCAAACCTCTGACTTCAAATTGATATAATTGTGAGTTAAGAAAAGTAATGTTCATGCACATCACCAGGAAACCTGAGATGTTTAAAACACTGAGAAGCTCTCCATTTGATCTTCAGCACAAGTGACAACTTTTGACCCATAAAAATCAATCTACCAGCAAATTCTTTAAACATGCTTGTATATATATTACCTGTAGAAGACAAATGACCTATGAGCCACACTGTGATGACCATACAATGGCAGATAGATATCCCAGTGCTGATTATTCAGTTCAGCAAAACTCTGTTCCTGCCGCCACATGTTATGTTTTCCATTGAGGTCCCCAACAGCGTAAGTATCTTGACTTCCTGAAGCTGGAGATGAAACAAAAACTAACAAAAATGTATTTAACATCATTGATTTCTGCATATATTGAAAGTAACCAATATCCTGACACAGAATCCAAATATGTATCACAAGAAGAAGAGTTCTGGAAAGAACTTGTGGTGCCTTATTTGCTTTAAATGTAAAGAAATGCCAGATTCTCCTTAAAATATATGACAACCAGGTTCTAACATACCTTGATCTTCTTGTATGTTGCTTGGATTGAATACAGAACCTGTTTTAAGGCAATGATTCTCCTTTACATTTATAGAAGGCAATGGTACTGGCGGAAGTTCATGAATCTTGTAAGCAGATGTTTTTGTTACTCTTCCTGTGAACTTATCATTGGTTGCAGTCAGATTTATTCTGATCCATGTTGGATCAGAGGGTGATCGTTGACTGAGGGTTATTTCCCCTTTCACACCATCTGACTGTATCAAAGCCCTGAAAAAACATAAACATGTCAAAATTCACAAATGACAACAAAAAATCATGTCAAAAAATAACTGAGGAACAGATTTTGGACACCCTTGTTTGGAAAAGTAGATGGATTTATAAAACTTCTTGATTTATGTAATATGAACTCCTTAATGTATTTTTCTTTTAAGTTTCTGCATGGACCTTACTTTTATTTCTTAAAACAAGCATAAAAAATGTAAATGGAAGACATGTTGGGAAGAGAATGCCTAGGCATCGATGAGAAAATACTACTGAATTGCATCTTTAGATCGGACTCTGAAGATGTAAACTGGTAAACTGCTCAGAACATGTAACAATAGCAGAGATTTCAGGATCATATAAGGGGAAATTTATTCAGTAAGTAGAAACTGTTACTCCCAAGTAGGTATTTTAGACACATTTAAAAATTATTAACTATACACAGCTTTGTTTCAAACTTTTATTCACGATGTATTAAAAATTGGCTTCAACTTCATTTATTTACTGACTTATTTTTATAAGAATTTCATCATTATGTTGTTGTGATTTATATATTGAGTCATGGTCTGACCATCCTGTCTTCTGCATGCCTGTATACTCCACATTCACAATTTTGACCTGATCTGCAGTGAGGGACGCAGAAAGAAAACTGAAGATTCCACACTGGAATTAACCAAGATCTCGTTATGCTACTTATTTTTTTTAATTAACAAATCAATACCACCTGCATAATATATAACACCTGATTGAAACCATTCAATTCCATCTTCTCCTGACAATGTTAGACATATAAACTTAAACTGTATACAGATACATACTTACTTTAGGACTGCGGGATGAACTTCGCGTATTTTTGCACAGGCCAGGAAACTGTCGTGATGTCTGGCATCAAATATCACGAGGTACAAACTGCGCTGTCCACTCAGTAGACTGGCAGACAGTGATGTAAGTCCAGATTCATGGTATACACCAGCAACTGAAGAATGTGATAGTCTTGGATCTCCAGAAACGTTTACCTTGCCAATGCGAGAATCAAGGTCTCCAACTGCTTGACCTGGAGTTGTTGAAAACACTGGATCGAACACCAACTGGAGGAAGTTACAGTTCTCTCGAGATTTATCTGCAGGGTCAAACAAGACAAGAAATTGTGATAATGAAAAAAATAAAGTTGTTCCTGTGCTTACACATTATACTGAGACATGGGAAAATTTATCCCCAGGGAAAAACCTGCCAGTATCCTCCGCATAGGAGGCTGGGTGGGTCCGATAGCAGGTCTGGACATGGTGGCAAACAGAAAAATACCTGTTCCTCCTGAGAACAAAATCCTGGTCATCGAGTTCAAATCAGTACTTCACTGAGTTACTCCAGGTTGTTCTCCACACAACAGCCACATCAGATTGTGACCTAGTAGAATGTATGGTTGAGCAGCGATTTTGAGCAGTGTACAGCATTATCATTATAAGAACCTGTTTGGCAGAATGCTTCCACATTCATTCAATAATGAAGTCTTTATTTTATCTGTAATAAAAGTTACTATAATACTATTTGATTAAACTCTGCAGAGCAATGGCATTTAACAGAATAAATTCGGTTCATAAAAGAATTTGCATAAGATTTATATGCTGTATAACAAAGCTTAAGGTAAGCAGGATTAATAAGTTCTTCATACAAATTTTAGTTACATATTTTGTTCAAAAATACATTTAGATACAGATCTAGCAGTAGCATTCTGACATACCAGCTTCTGAATCCAGAATATCTGTCGTGTAAATCTTCCAGTGATGTTCAGTGTTAGCAGGTTTGATGCCTTCAGGGCTAACAACATGGTACAGGTTTGTATACAGCAGAGTGTCTGTAGAGCCTGAGTGATGGCTACCAACCCAGCGTAAGAAAACAGAGCCAGCAACTGGAGAAAAGAACTTTGCTTCTGCAACCTTCTCATCAGCATTTCCAGACACCTGTTTCAATGTAAATAACTTCTAACAGTAAAATAAGGATGGGTTTAATAGCTTCCACACAGGTGAATCATACTGTTAGGCTGATTAGCTACTTAAGTGAAATAAATTGTTTCTGGAAAAGATACTGAAGCATACTAAGAGAAAACGTAGATTCAGGGGAACTCAGTCAGTATCACTTGGCAGAAAATAATGCAACAAAAATATAGTAGAAATACAGTTACTGAAATTCTTTACTTATATGTGACACAGTGAAAAAGTTCATAAGATACAGTTACTAAAATTCTTTACTCATATGTGACACAGTGAAAAAGTTCATAAACATTTTAAATAGCTCAGTTAATAATGTATCCTTGGGTTGTGACACTGTGTAGTCATGTAAATGATTACCATGTTTTGTGTAGTGTATTGCAACATTAATGCTAAACCATCCTATTTACTGAATTAAATTTTGGTAATAACTTCACAACTTTCACAGTTCTGAGTATATAAGTAAAGTTTCTGTATTCAGCAAAGGAGCATTAACAAATTTCTAAAAACAGTGACAGAACAATCATCCGCAAAGCCACACTGCACAAGATATTACTGTACTTTTTCAAAACAATTCTCAGTTATGTTTAAATTATTTTTCACTTATTCAACTCTTCAACTCACTGTAATGGTGGCACAGGCTTTGCGCGATATGTCATCAACAACCTGCAAGACAAGGGACTTTCCCCACAAGCCCTTGGCACCTGTTAGCACCATCTGATCACCTGCAGCTGTCATCTCTGCTGAGCCATTGGCAGGCAGGTTTAGTGGCCCAAACACTTCATCCAAGATCAGAGTACTGAAAGTAGTTTAACAAGTAACACAAAAGTAAATGGTTTAAAAATCATAAATTTTTATTAATGTGTCAGCACAGAAAGAGACACTGTCTTCATAATGGAGGAAGCAAGCACCTTTGGTATGTCAATAAACGTCTTCCAGACTACACAGTACAACAGGCCAGAAGAGAGTCATCAAAATTCTTTTAATTTTTTGCATTAAGCTGCCTAATCTAAAAAATAAAACAGGAAGAAGGTAACTGGAATATATAAAAGAGTTTCATATAATTAAGAAACATACATAAAGCAAGAGATATTTAATTAAAAAAACAAGTTTGATAAAAGTGGTGTAGTGTTTTGAATTTTATCTTGTCTGGTTAGCACATGGCAGTCAACATTAAAACAACCTTGACTTATCCAGACATTTAGTACCAAACATATAACAAATGTAAATAATATTCCCCACTGCCATGCAGTTGGATATAGCACAGCTAGCTAAATACAGTATTTAATTATACAAAAATATCTATTAGTTTTTTAAAAAAGCAAGAACTTAAAAAAAGCATAAAGAAAAATCCATGTAAATAGGACATTTACTTAATCATCATTTGGAAACAAGAAAGTCTTGTATTTGTTTGAGTGGAACCTCAGCATATTGTCAAAGAAGACACTTACACTGAGCCCAGTTTATCATTTCCACACCGATCTTCAATGTTGCTATAGGAAACTGGCAGTTCTCTCACCACCCAGGACCACTGTGACTGCTCATCTACTGCTTGGAGGGATGTTCGTACTACCACAGTATTCCCATCTCCAGGCTGCTGCTGGAAGATTACTTCCCCATGAAGACCTGACTGTGATATATAGGCTGTGAGCTGAATTCCGCAACATGGCTCAGTACCTAAACATAGGACAAGTCAGCTATCAGAATGCAGTGTAAAGTAAAAAGTAAAGTTTGTCCCACTATACGCCATGTAGGCGTTTGGGGTGAGTGGAGGTATAGCTCCTCTCTTCCTTGACCTCGGCACTAGATGGGGGTGAGTGGTCAGCATCACGCCCCGGCCGGCTTTACCCCCGGGAAAGGACCCCGGTACCCATTGTAGAGGAGGCTGGGTGGGCCGCAGAGCCGGTCTGGACGCAGAGGCTAGAGGAAAAATCCTCTGCCCCCGTCGGAGATCGAACCCCGGTCGTCCAGCCCGTAGCTAGTCACTATACTGACTGAGCTATCCCCAGTCATTTCAGAATGCAGTGTGCAGAATGATAATGAACTCAACAAAATTCAATCACAAGTTTACAAGTGCATTCCTTTTTAATTTTTATTCTTTGTATTTACCCAATTAACATGGATGTTTTCCCACCAGAAATAGTACCATATTTCGCCAATATTAAGATGAACTCTTTTTTTTTAAAAATTTCTGATGGTGTCTAAGAATTGATATAGCAACTTTTACCCTGAAATCAAGGGCATGTCTTATAGTCCATTTAAAATTACAACCCCAATCCAATGAATTCCAACATCTCTCCCCAGGATATAGAGCAGATGAAGTTTGAAGCCAACTACCCACTTTCTTCTAGGGTCAAAGACAAAGCATAAAGTTTTACCACCAATTTTCTGTGTGTCCTCATGACACGGTGCTTAGACACAGGGTAACTTTTACCTAATTAAGGATACACTAATTAAATCCACAGAGCAGAGTCCTTCTTGAGAAGCTGACAGTTCTCCAAGCAGTCATAAAATTCCCCACTTTTCATGGAACAATTAAAAACTCAGATGAATCCAGTCCACACCCTCCCACTCTATTTCTATAAAATACATATTAATATCATCCTCCCATCTATGCCTATGGGAAGTGGTCTCCTTTTCATGGAACAATTAAAAACTCAGATGAATCCAGTCCACACCCTCCCACTCTATTTCTATAAAATACATATTAATATCATCCTCCCATCTATGCCTATGGGAAGTGGTCTCTTGCCTTCAGGCTTTCCAACCAACATTTTGTATGAATTTATCTCACATGCATTCCAAATGCTCAGCCCATCTCATCCTCAGTATTATTTTAGGGCATTCATTTGTTAGTGTATTGAAACAAGGCAAATCCCGAACAGGAATTTGGAGAAGACTGGCAATATTTAGAACGTTGTTACGTCCCCTGTTGGCTTCCAGTTGTCCTATAAAACGTGTGTATTGTTTCAAAATCAACTTATTTTTTAATTAACCGTAATCCAATGTGTACACGTACAGAATGCTGGCGCTGGAGATTTCAACATGCGACAAAGACATGAACCATTCCAAAAATATCAGCATATAACAGCCTTAATTTTTTCCGACTACTCACCACATACACCAAGAACATACAACTCATACAAGAGAAAATTATGATTATTGTCATTATTTTTGTGATATTTACGTTGGCAGATGTGACTGAGAAGCGTAACAGGTTCTCCATATGCTCAAGAATACAAAAGCTTGCTTTTCACTGAACCCAAAACAAAATGCAGAAACAATACAAACTTACCACACGTGAAAATTATAAAACACAAAACACATACGTCACACACGTTGACGCTCATGGCGTCAATTTAAAAATAATGCAAATTTCAGACCGACATGCTGGTATTCACGCCTTGATCCCACTCAGCTGATCTGTGTCACTGGAACCAACGTGTAACGGAGTCAGAGAGACTGGTCATGCTTTCTCTATGGCCGAGAACTCGATTCTTCAGGTAAGACGAGAAAATGTGGCAGTTAAAGTAAAGTCCGTATAAAGGTTAAAATACGAAACAAATATGGTTCATTAATTTTTCCTGACATCCTATTGTCTACTTAACTTCTAAATCAGGAGTTTTCAATCTTTCATTACCGGTGATCACATTCGTCCTTTCTTATCTACTCCCGGGCCGACTTTAATTTGTTAAAACTTAGTGGTAATTTACTAAAATGTGGTATTATAACTCCACAAATCATAATTTGTTTTGATTAATCAGCCATTTCAAATTAAATTCACTATTTGATTTAGGCAACAATCTTATTTTATATGGAGTGATACAATGTTACATAAACGTAGCCTATGCGGTCCACGGGTTGAGAACTGTTCTAGCTCAGACGTGTAATGCTTATTCGGTAACAGAAAGAACCTATGCATCAAATCTCTGCAATGTCTTCAGCCAATAAGCTCTGAAAATACGATAAATCGATAATTTAGGAATTGTAAGATGCTAATGTTAAAACAGCCCTGAATTCGTCTTACGTAGTGTTTACTTCCAAGAGTCATTAGGCCTGCCGTTTTCAAGAATGCACAGGATCTGCTATAATGAAGGCAAACTTTTTTTTTTTATGAAGTGATTGGTGACTCTAAAACTTGTAGCGCTTGGCTGTGAGTCACGCGCCGGATATTTAGTGTTAACGTTTCGGCCTTGAAAATGGCAACTGGAATGTTTGTTGAAACGTTGGAAACACCAAATATCAGACGCGGCTCTCGACACACTGGACTCGTGCCTCAAGCCTGTGAGTCGTATTTCCTTTAGCAGAAAGTATGGTACACACAAAATAAACCACATTCTTTTTGCCTTGATTACTGAGATATATACGGGGAAGCTTTAAAACAAAGGTGGGTCCTGGGTAACACATGATCTTGGGGCCCCTTCTCTCTTTACTTTCTTTGGCCGCATGCATGCGAGTTAATTGCTGGGTATTTTAAGAGATAGATCTACCACAGGGGCTTCGTTAATAAAACGACAACAATGACATTTACAAACAAATTAACAAGCACGACTGTATTTGATACTAAACCCGTAGACATGTATGTGAAATCGATCAAGCTCAGAGTGCGAGAGAAATTTGTAAAGCAGGCAAAAATGTTGACACGTATAAGTGGAATAATTTACAGACGCTTAGTTAAAATTAATGTGCAGAAATATACGCCCTAAATAATGCAAAACTTGTTTTATTATTACTATTTACTTTAATAAATGAATTGGATGAGTTATTATTATTCCATCTATTCACCATTTTAGATGGTATTTGCTTCTATGTGCCTGAGACAAACCTTGCTCTTGAGATATATAATGTAGCAGCTATTTCTGAAATACATTTTGTTTTTTAATACGTGTTACATGCATTAAATAGATTTTGCGTGAGACAATATGTATTTTACATGAACGTCTTTCTAATGACGTGAGATGTTCCTAGAATGGCGGTTTTCTAAAGTTCCCTGTCGTGTTGGCCAAATATTTTTTAAGTGATTTGGAGACAGTTCCAGTTACCCATATAATCATTGGAATTACTTTGGCTTTTACTTATGATTATGATTATTATTATTATTATTCAGAGGGGCTCCATGGAAAAAACATGAGGTTAAACAAGAGATCCAATTGAGAGCCAACTGTATTTAAACGCTTGTTTCTCAAAGACAAAGTATGTGCATCCCTGACAATGTGCTGTATTTAGCTGGGATATCCCTGCAACCAGTTACCAGATGACTATCGAGAACTAGGGCAAGGAAAGGAAGAGACGGGGCGCAGACGAAATTAACTAAGACGCTAAAAATATAACATTCAGTGTGGAACAAATTCCCTCATCTCCAGCAGCACCTCGTCTCAGCTAAGTGCCAGTGTTCATACCTATGTTACGTAGGGATGCTGTATTGTTTTTACTTTTCGAATTTTGTTGTTAATCAAACCCCAGATCGCCTATTATTTTTTTGGGTTTATCGGCAGGATAAACATCTTTTAATATAAACCCGATAATTCAAAATTAGCTTTAAATATTCAATACATTTGATAATATAGAAATAAGGCAATATACTTGCTAATTATTTACCATCGACAAAACAAATATGGCGGTTGCGCGGATATTATTGGGATGTTATTACACATGCTCCATAGAAGCCATTGCAGCTTTGGTTATCACAGACCCAAGGATGACGATTATGATTATGACGGTGACGTCAGCAGAA